ATAAGTGCCGAGATGACTAAATTCATTTGCTCTTACTGTCATTCGGATTTATGTAAATTGTTCCACGGGTTATTATTCAGTCTGTTTGTTCGTGAATTGAGATCATTCCAAGAAAGCAGACGAAGCTTTCATCTCTATAGCTAAAAGTGCTGATGTTGATTTTGGATTGAATATGATCGTGTTCAAGCACAGTGCTCGATTGCGTTATATAATCGATAGGTAGGTGGGATTTGAAATTATTGTAGTAGGATTGAGAAATGAAAGACATAGATAGTATAGCAAATGAATACAGTGAATGAAAAGAAGCCCTCATCCTACACTTGTTCCAGAAGGAAGTTGCAGTTAGGCGAATATTTTACTGCTTAAGAATAGAACAATTCGACATTTTCAGAATTCTGATGTGTCCTAAGATACTCGTAACATTTTCCTATGCTCTTTTTTCTCTCTACTGCTGAGAAAGTTTGAAAATTTTTCATTGGACAATTATAAGTCTGCTAAGTTAAGCTTCGCGTACTTTAAATCTTCCAATCACTTCATGTCCGTAAATTGTTCATCATTATATTCAAAAAAGCCGCACCTTTTATACAGTCATAAATGTAATGTTTTGAATTGACAGGACGACAAGGGTATGTCAATGAATTGTTCTTTGCACTTATGCATTTCTCTTAAACTTCTAAGAATATCTGTTTCATCTCTATTTTAGATATATATATATACTGATATACCTTATGTTCAGTCCGGTATTACCAATACTATTAGTGAATAGTGCTATTAGTTGAATAAGAAGGGTTTTAGGAGCTTTCAGCTTTGCATTTTATTTTTTCAAACACAAAATCAATCTTGATATCACAGTTCAACGCTATTTGGAAATACCTTACTGTGATAATTAGTTGACATGCTGCTTTGTCATTACATGGCTTTTGTTAGTCGACTAGCCATACATTTTTTTGCAGTTCTGCAAGAGAACGTTAAAATTGTTACTTCAAAATAGTTGTCATTTAAATTGTTCATGCAGGTCCTGGAATACTTGTAATTTGTCCCGGTATTATTTCCACTACGTAATCCGGTAATTCTGAATGCGAAAAACAAGAAGCCGGTGACGTTTTTTGTGGTTGTATCTATTTTAGCAGATAAGGAATATCAATACGAAGAATGTTCATTCCCTTATTTCCCTATGCTGTAAGTAAGGCGCACTATGGTTGAATGAGGCTTAATATTTTGAATTATATTTTGGTATCCGGTATTTGTGATATTGTAGTAGACAAAAAATTTAAAGTAGTTGGTAGGTTTTAGGAGTTAATAGTAGAAAACCAGAACAACTCTATCATTTAGAGTTGCTAATATGCTAGTAGGGGACATTTCTTTATCCTTTTAAGAGACATAACTGTACACTATAGTTGTTAGGTTTAAATACATCCACATTCTTCGGGATCGTGTCTGACATATGTTTCCTTTCTTGTGAAACTTGCTTGAATTGTCGATTTGCTGGCGAATATTTATGATATTACTACATTTTCTGCCTCAAAAAAGAAATTGTTCATCTACATCAACTATTTGTTACTTCAAGTAGTCAAGTTAAAGAGTCTCTGCATTTTGTTCTGTGTAAATTCTCCGCTTGTTTTCCTTTTTCTTTTTTTACTAACAAAGTGTTTGGCAAATAAAAATTTTTGATGTTGTTAAGAAAGGATGTCAAATATGAATCTGTTATATTTTTCCAAACACATCAGGGTATATTAGAATTTGAATGATCATGTGAATTATGCTAAATCGTTAGATGCTGATGATATTAAAAAGAAAAGATCATAGTAGTTGGGCAAATATCGTCGCTGGATATAACGAGTTTCCGAACTAAAAATTTTTCTTTAACGGAAGAAGAATGAGAAGTTTGACAGGTGACAGCAGACTCAGCGCTTCAGCTGTAATTTGTTAAAGAAAGTCCCGAAGTTGTGACGATTGCGAATAAACTCTTCCTCCAAATCAGTTCAGTGGTGATTTAGCGTTAGATTTTACCTTTGAAAGAAATGGTCAAAAAGTGGCATTGGAATATCACTGGATGGGTGGTCGATTATTAAAAATTCGACTGAAGATTCTAATTCGTGTTCTATTAAATTCTCTTCAAAATGGGAGAGTTTTTTGGCAATGATTTGCTAGTAAAATGAGGTTGTGAAATGATTAATCCTTTTCGGAGATTAATTCAGGAATGTTCGGGTGCTGAAATGTTGAAATCTTGAAACTTTTGTGATAAAATGGATGCATACTAAACTGATGGCTCTGTATCCTAGGATTGGTTGTACCATCCCTGTCCGCCAGAGATGTCGGAAAGAGGAGGAAAGGCATTTGAGGGAAAAACAATAAGTGACTCGAATGCGGTAATTTTGTTAACTGAAAGGAACAAGGTATACATCAGGCAATGGATGATTAATGCATAGTAGAATGATGGCGCTGTGGGATGAATACAGATTCCATCTGTTTCATTCGATGGATATCTCAACAAGGTGAAATATAAGTTGAGAACTCTTCTTATCTTTTCCCCAATCGATCGGTCATTCAGAGCCAATTATGGTATCAAAGGAAAGACTGAATGTGCCCTTCGACTGATTTCTCTAGAGTATTACTGATGGATTGATTCATGACCACTTATCGCGATGCGTATCCCATCATCTTTCGTTAGTAACAACCGCGTTGATTTGTATCACATCCAGAAAATGAAGATGGTTACTGTAGTTTATCTATTGTAATATCAGGATGAAATGGTGTTAACATCAATAGACCTTCAAGCAATAGAAGCCGAAAAAGTTAAATATGAAGTATATTAGGCAGTGCTACTGGTTAGTTTCTGTCAATTTCCTTTTTTTGATAATATCGGCGGGAGCATATGAAAAAAGACTAAAACATTCACTCATTCATTAATTTTTTAATTTCTTATTATCTCATTGAAATGAACGAATGGAATGGACGGTATGAAAGAGTTCAAGGCAAGACATTATAGATTTTGCGATAGTTTTTAAGTTTGCAAGTTTAGTGCAAAGTTTTTTACTTTAAATGATACTTAGATTATGTCATTTTGAAATATTTGTAAGCAAACGAAATTTCGGCTTTTTGCAAATAAATATGTAGTCGAATTTTTGGTTTAAATTTCAATTTTACTCATATTTTGTTCCATTCCTTCCTTTTAGTTTTGCTTCTTTTTTAAATTGTTTTGCCCTTTTTTAACTTCATTTCATTCATATATTAAAGAAGCGATTAACAAAAATTTTGATTTTTCTATAAAATGATATAATGAAACTCTGTTTTAAACGTGTGATAGGCAGAAATTGTAGTAGTACTACTAATAGAAGCAGCGGTAGTGGTTTGTGACAGCAATAGATGACAGTTGAAACGAGATGTTCGGGGTCACTCACTCAATTTGTTTACTAATACGTACAACTAGATGGCTCCGTTACTGATTAGGTCATTACCATGAATTTACAACACATTCGGTTCATTTTGATGATCGAAAGGATCGAGAAAATATTGACAGTTCTCTCTTCTAGAGAAAATGACATTATTATGCCGGTAACTGTAACTACTGCAGTAATAGTTCCAAGGATAGTTTAAAGTGAAATTGCGACAGGGAAGAATTCAACTTCATCATTTGAAGCAGTCATCGTATCAATTCGTTCTCTTGCAATTATCAAGTCTATCCTATGGATTTCTATTTCATTAATGTTACCGCTTTAGCAAAGAAGACCAACTCGTACAATAGAGAATAAGGATTTAGTCGAATAGATTTTCAATCATTTCAGATGTTTTGTTGAGGAAAATAAGCTAAGACAAAAATTGTTATTATGATCAAAAAAGGTCTAAAAATTATAGAAAATTCACTCCTATTCATTTCATAATCGATTCCACCAAATTTCAGAAAAACTTCAAGACCTCCTCATTTCATGAAGATGTAACAGAAATGGAAGGAAGAAAAAAATTGATGGATTACATTTTGCGCAAACCCACACATTACAAAAAGTAAAGGAATGCAGACGGCACCGTGAAAAAGATTTTTACCTGTCGATTTCAGTCAACTAATTCAGAGTGATTTACAGCAAATCTTATTGAGTTGTGCTATCTCGAAGTATCAAACTTCATTCACTATTAACAGAGGAAGAAAAAATTTTGTTAAAGAAATATGTAAACAAAAATAAATATAAATAAATAAATATATATATATATATATTTATTTATTTATTTATATTTATTTTTGTATGTATGTTTCTGTATTGGAATAGTGTAACGATTGGTGAGAAAAGAAGAAGAAGATGACAGAATGTTGACAGATTGTGGCAGTAGTGTATTTTTTGAAGAAGTTAAGAACTAGTTAATGTTAAGGAGAATGAAGGAAAAGAGAGGAAGAAGGACCCAATGATACATGTGTGGCATGTAAGAAGCAGAGAAGGAAGAAGGAAGAAGGAATGGATCACATCAAGGCATCATCATACGAGAAACAAGTTATAAAAATGCAGCTGAAAGAGGAAAAATTTTAGATTGAAAAGTTTCAACCATTAAACTGTTGACTTATAAAGTAATGGCTTTCAGCAAGGTACAAGTTATGATACCTTCATGATAGCAGTTTAACACTTTGTTTAGATGTAGTTGAAAATTATGAAGATGTTTTGCCTGTCAAAGCATTTAGTTATCAAAATGGATGACATGATGACTCTGTTGTTTTTTCACTTCAAAAAAAAATGAGTGCGAAATTACTACTAAACTTTAAGAGGTCAATGATATTATTTGAGATGTTCGTCAGAACCTGAGAAGTGATTTCTGACCGATGACTAAACTACTACATCGATTTGGATGCCGCTCGATAGAAAATCGTACAGTTACAGTGTGAGAGCAACAGGAGCTACCTGGTAAGTTCTTGGTAAGTTTGTCTGTGTTTGTAGATATCGTCAAGGTCATTTATGTGACAACAAATTCACACTAAAGTATATCATTGATAAGCTCGTTTTCTTCCATCCCTACTGCTACATTACTTTTATGTCCAATTTCCCATCTTCGGTCACTACACCAATTCGCCTTGTCCATTTTAGTTCATCCATCTGTTGGTTAGTCTGTCTATCTACCTGTCCTGTACCATCTTTAAACAACAATTGATCATTGGCAGCGTCACCTCGAGAATATAGTATAGTATGATAGGGCGTGGCTGATGACGACCTTCAATTGGTTAATTGCTTTTTGAATATATCACGATGTGGAAGAAGTAGAAAGAGTGTTTGATGTATACATGGTGTTGCTCCTACTCCTGTATTGGTTCCGGTAACCCTATGTCCGTGTATCTTCTTCAGTTTCTTCTTCATCGATAGGTGCACATATGCTTTCTTTCTGTACATCTCCATTTGACAAATACAGAAGACGGATACCCATTATTGCATCATCCATTGTTTCTATTTATTATTTTCATTTTCATTATTATTATTCTTTTTTACTTGATAATGTCAACAACGAAATATTGTTAAGCATTTTTTTCTTATTTGTTTCTTTCCTACTCGTTTCATACATTATTAATTCCTAACTATTGTTTAATTTAAATGTAACTCTTTATATTAGATATTCATCTTCTCCATGTAATCATTGCACAGTTGCATAGTTAAAACAATCGGCATTATATAATTTCAAATTGCTATTTTTAAAACTTGCCTCCATGAAACAGATTCTTCTCTCATTCTAAAGTATTAGCTAATGTACAATGATTATATACATTGTTAAAAAAAAATTCGAAGTTGCTTTTTCAATTCCCTTCTACAAAAATTATTGATGTAAAATTTTGATTTTTATTGTAAACAATTTATGATTGTAATTACTGCTTCAGTTCTGTTTGTTTTCGTTTCTTTTTTCTTGAATGTAGAAAATTTACTTTGTTTTTTTCAATAATTTGCTAAAAAAAAGTTTATTTATCCGACATTGTGTGCAGCAATATATCTGGGTTCAAGTATTGCAACTTTACTTTGGTTATCTAGCTGTATGAGTAAGTTACTGGCTTCATAAAGCTAGGTTACCAAAGCTAAGCACAATACATCAATTCTTCGACCTCACCTTCTTTCCCCTGTAATAATAATAATTTTCTATTATTGGAGAGAAGAATATTTTTAAGAAATGTATGTTCATTTCATTATTTACCTTTTCAAAACAACAGATCGTTTTCTTAATAACTTTATCTTTTGTTCAAATCTAACTAATAATATCGATTTTCTTTCACCTTATTGTTTATAAAAAACCCTTATTGTTTGTTTTCTTAAAAACAATTAGACTTCAATGAAGTCGAAGAGAAATGTTAAAATTGGTTAACCTTTAATATTTTGTTCATTTCGTATATTTGTACTTTATTTAAGGGATTAAAAAGAAAGAAGAAATCGTTTACTGTTAGTGTTAGTTTCATTTTTAATCAATCAAAATTAATTACATTTGTTTAATTTATCAATTTGTTATGAACTTTTTATGATAATATTTCAGGATAAGTTCAGTAAATCATTTCATTTCAGTATTGGAAATTTAATTTTTGAATATCATTTCTTCATCATTGTATTCATGAAATGTAGAGAAAACAAAAGTTATTAAGGATTTCCTTATGAAAATAATCGCAAAGAAATTTCTATTCTTAAACGATCTAAAATTCCTCTTTTCAGACATATATCTAAATTAAAAGTGGAAATCTATATTGAAGAAGATTTTATTTTAAATGTATTGAATGAACTAACAATTAATTCATAATTAATAAAGTTCAAATTTTCAAATCTAATTAATGCATTCTGTTTTCACATTTTCATTCTTTTTCATACTTACTTATCAATTATTTTTTCCTTTTTTATAAAACAGTGTAATTAACGGTTGGAGAAATCTTTTATTCTAACTTCTTCCTCACATTTTTTCATCTTTCCTCAATTTTCGTCTTCACTTTCATTCATTTAGGCATTACTACCAACCCTAAGACAATTAGAATATATAATTAATGCATTATAAATATCTTTTTAATTATATTACTGAGGAAAAAAAGTCAATGATAGCCAATTTCTCACACAATGACAAGCTGTTTACTTTTATCAAAGACATCCGGCAAGAGTGACAGTTGTTTCTTTCAAAACTGATAGGCACAACAGCACGTGGTGAACAAATAAGATGAGTTGAGTTGATCATTCTTCTTTTTTTACTATACCAAAACATTCTATCGCAATTATTATGATGGATGAATTTGTCTTTTTGAAAAATTTGAATTGAACGCATAATCATTAAATAATATAAATAAAACAGTTTTCTTTTAGATTTTTCTGAAATTAATTTCATATAATTGGATAATATTAATTATCCAAATGATAATTTTCATTTATTTATTGTATTAATGTTTTTTGCTTGAAATTTCTCATTTTTAAGAAATTTTTTAAAATGTTCGTTTTTCATTTCGTATTTTAATTTTATATTTTAGCTTACTTAAGAACTGAATTAATGTAGTATAAAAGATGTGCGAAATCTTTGAAAGCATTCATTATTTTCAATTCAAATTTCGTTACTCATTTCAGTTTTCAGACCATAACTAAACAAATTTATTCTATAAGCTATCAACTAAATTTCCATGAGATTATTTGTTGATAAAATTATTCATATGTTGAGTGTGAGTATAATTTTACGGAATATATTCAGTATATATTATTGTTATTCAGTATATTTAGCACGTTATATTTAGTCAATACATTCATTATTTATTATCACATATTAGCATCGTTGAAATCCTTTAAATTCCGATTTTTCCAGGACAATTTCAACATTTTTTTTTTCACTCAATTTCATCAACTGCATCTCTACGAGATAAATCTGATAAATTGTAATGGAAACTTCTTTCTTTTAAGTCATTAAAAAATAAAAATTTTTTAACTCTACCAAATCCTTTTTCAAGGTAGCAAATTGGGATAATTTGGATTAATAATTTGAAGTGAAAATTATCACCTAAATTTTTCAGTGTTTTAGCTGGAAAATATGAGCTTATTTTTTCAAATATTCGATTGACTGATCCCATTCTATCATCAGTTTAAATAAGCCTGAGAAAATCACAGTATTATCATTACAGTTAGCGGCATTTTTCCGCACTACTTCTTTATCTTTTATAAGCGTATCAATGAAGTAAATGATCAAATCCGTTCGTTCGGCGACGTGTTATAATGGAAGATTGAAGGGTTATATTGTCTAAAAGATTGTTTTAAATTTCAAACTTAATTTCTTAATTGTTTCAGGGGTTAAAGCAGTTTAAAACTATCGCAAAATATGAAAAGAAGAACTTAATAGATTGGCAGAGTCTTCTTGTCCCCACTCCTGATTCCAAGAAGATTTTTTATTTACTATGCAAATATAAGATCGAATGTTAGCTTAGCGGTAATCGAAAGTTACTCCAGGGTTCGAGGCTTAGCTCTAAATCTTAGAGTGATTTGATAAAATAAAGATTAAGTTTGTCATCTTATAGGTTATCAATTCAATGAAGAAATTGCAAATTTCGTTTCGACATATAACAAGAAGTTCGGTGATAGAAAATATGGAATACTGATGGTATAATGGCATATTTCAAAAACTTGTGAAAGAAAATGAGCCAAGGAACAGGGTTTATTAGGCCAAGGTTCTTGTCCTCACTTCATAACCGTTATTGTTCTCATTACTTTCTAATAAATGTTGCTGTAAAAACTTTTATAGGCTGGATGTTCTGATTAGCTATTATTTTATCCCTAAAAATGCACTAAGGTATCATCCCATTTTTTTATCATCTCTATCATGCATTTACCACGTATTCCTTCTATTTATAACTCTCAATAAAAGATTGAAATATTATGATCGATTTCAGTACTCTACTGAATTATCAGCTGAAGTTTTATAATGCATTGGTCGAATATATTTGTTATGGTTAAATTAATGATAACTTAAAAAATTTTTGATTATTTTGCACCATGTTGATTGTTGATTATTAATAAATCACTGTTACAAAGAAAAAAAAACGAAAATTTTGTTCGAAAGATGAAGTTGATCAATCGATCGAGCGCATGTAACGATAATTTAGAGAGGAATTCTCAAGCGATCACTATTTTTCACTTCTTTAAGCCTTAACAATCTCATTGGCTGTACCCAGTATATTTATTTAGTTTGATGGAACTCACCTAAATCATGAATACTGGCATTTTGAGGCCAGTGATTTGATTTATTTTATAAAAATGTCTTGCATTGGATAAAAAGAATAAAATTGTTTTTGATATGCAACATTGAAAATTAGCACTAAATCTCGCGACTATATCGGATGAACATTCTTCCAGATTTATTGATCTCCTTTAGGATAATAATCGGTGCTTTTCCTAAATGTTCATATGACTAATTGGCCTTCATTAGTCTATCCCATAAAACGCAATATTTCGATTTCATCAATTCACACTTTTGTTATTACTAATTAGCCTGCTATTTAGCAAAATTCTTCCTTCAAATGTGGTAAGCACTCTATCGTAAAGATGGCGAAGAATACAAAAGTTATGCAATAGCAGACAGTAAAAGAAAAAATTGCGGAATGCTCACGTTTTGTGTCTTATACACACCATGGATTCCGGATTTTCAATCCGAGTAGCGTGTCGGCCGCTTTTCTGAACATTTTTATTGGAGATGCGCTGACATGGTTGGATGGTTGGTATGTTTGATAGACGTTAGGGATGATGCAGGATTCTTAGTACTGCCACAAACTTAGAAATATTGAAGAAAGCATGGTTTTCATGCGATGATAGTAATTGATAACAAAGACTAAAATCCATGTTGGTGTGGCTCCTTGGAAGTATACTACTAATGGGATATATGCATATTGTTTATAATAGCTAAAAAACTCACTAAAAAAGAAAGAAATCACTTTTTTAGTTTTTTTAGTCATTAAAAAAGAAAGAAATCAGTTGATGTTGATTGCTAACTGTTTAGAGATTTTTAGTATCTGTTAAAGAAGAGGAGAGATCTCTATAGCTTTTCAAATCTGGAACTATTTGTTCATTTTTTTTTTTTTGTGCGCTGATACAGATATCTGCTGTTGTAGTAATTAATAGTTTATCGCAGATGAGTTTTTTGGGTAATCTACAGAGACATGATAATTCAAAATGGAAGAAGACTTCTGCTGGGACGTTGAATTTAGATAAAAGAAGTAATGTCATCGTGGAAGCACCAAATGTCCCACGGCTGAATATGAATCATGGATTTATCAAAAGTATTGTGAGAAATCAAATTGATAGGTATGTTTTAGTTCTTAATACGTACAATTTGTTATTACTTATTGACTTCCTGCAGACATTGCCAATCGATAGATTGTTGAGGAGAAGCATCACGTCGTACACTTGTCACAGTGCAGTTTGCAAGCACTAATCAGAAATCGTGTTAGCAATTAAAGAAATTCGTTTCAGAATTAGTGTTAATAATCTTGACAACTGGAATTCTATTGATGTTTTGTTATATATATTTTGGTCTTTTTTTTGGCTTGTGTATTTTATTATGGACAGTTTATTGTCTTTTTTTTAACAGTTGTATGCTTAGCTCAAGTGTCTTATTTAGGGATGAATATGATAAATTGGTATCAGATAAAAGCGTCACATCATCGTTTCGCCATCTAGGTGATTTTTTACTTTTTTGTGATACCTGATTTTTAATCTCCTTGGAGATCAGTGCTTTATGTTTGTTTTTTTACGAAACATTCTGAGGATTTTGTACATGGAAAACAGGGTAGACTGGCATGAAATATATGCAGCGCAATGGTTAGCATCTGGAAATTTTCAAGTTTTACAATGCCTTCAGGTTGTCTTTTTCAGAATGTATTATTTCATATTATTAATCGTAACGGTGATAAAATTATATTTTTATATGTCTAGGAATATTTTTATTTTTTTATGCATTGGTTCATTTATTTACTTACAGAGAGGCCTAGGAAAACATGTGATCCGCTATTGTTGTATATACCTCCTCATCTACGTACTATTAATAGGAAAATCACGAAAAATGAAGAAGTAAGGAAACATTATGTTATTTTGCTTAGATAAGCATATTTTTATCTTTTCATTTGTTCATTTATTTACTTTTCTTTTTAATTTTAATCAATAAAGTTAAATCGGTTCGAGATGATTATAAACACATGCAAGATGTGAAATTTAATTAACACAATAATTACAGAATTCTCATATCAATGACGAGAAGGAAGAATTGCGTAAAAAAGTTAGACGACGTCTAATAGAACAGATGGCAAAAGAAGGGCATGAAAGGTTACAAGTGGCCACAGAAACGATAATTCCCACTCATACTTTATTAAAACGAAACATAGACACAAGAAGACGTCCAGATCCTGCTACTGCAGCACCATCACGAAATGAACCGCTTTTCAAGCTTAATGTTCGCGGTCAAGACGGTAATCCAGTGGAGCAAATTATACACGCGGTAATTTTTTTTTGATTGAAATTCGTCCTATTTTATATCGATAGTGATTTGTAAGTTCTCATACAGTTAACGGTTAACAGTGTTTCAGTTTTCTTCACCTTATCAAAATACAGATTATAAATTCTAACTATTCTTGTCATGGAAGGTATCATTCTTGCAGAATGATAACAGCGCACGTATTGCCAAAGCTTTAACAAGACAACTGGAGCTTACTGATGACCAGTGCCGTTTGTTGCGAAATCGAATTCAAGAAGAATTGGAAAAACGTTTGGCAACTTAATATCGTTGTTTTTAATCATGGTCGTTTTGCAGCAGTCTTTGAAACCAGTGCTTTTTCAAAATTCAGTAGCCTTCAAATCAATATCCAGTAAAGTAGTGTATTGCAATCTGTTTACTTGTTTTAGTAATTTTGATTAAAAAGCGTTTGTTCGACTGCAGCATAGATCTTGAACTTGTATTCAGCAAATTCAACTTTAAGTAGGAAACCTACAACAGTTTTTAAGATAGCGCTTATATAAATTTAGATTTAAACCAACCTTGGTCAGTTTTGAATCAAAATGACGGAAGACAAGCTCGTAATATTGAATTGATAAATTTGCTTTTCAGTTTAGATTGGTAGCGAAGTAAGAATTGTATATTTAAAACAGGTTTTATTGTAACATAATCATTTAATGTGTGATGTTTTTTTGGTCGCTCATTTTTTAAATCCTCCGATTCTGGAGATCTTTTTATAAAGAACTTGTTACTTGTGTTCAATTGATAATCTCGTGACTGCATTTTTTGTTCACTGTTTTTACGTTTGTTTATTTCAAAATTTTCAAAAAAAGATGTAATATAATGTTAAAATAAGTATATCGGTCTTGCTCATAGTAAATTGAAGGCTGTTTGCTAATCTATACAAAACCGTAAGTTTCAATTTAAATGTACCACAAACGATATTCTTTGTAAATTGGAAAAAGCATTAACGTGTTGGCATGTTAACAAAGTCTAAAGTCATGAACAGTTTTAACCAAATTACTTTGTATATATCAGAATTTTATGTTTAATTGAGAGTTATTCATAAATCGGTGTACAGGTGTTCTGATTGTGCTCAATCGCTTTCTTTTCAGTTCTAATGGAATTCTTTTCTTGGAACCCCTTTCAGAAGTATTTTATAATATATATGTTTTTAATAATTTTAATTCAAACTTTTTTAACGACTGTGATCTTTTATTTTTACAACATACTGCTTGCTAACTTTTGTTAATTTAAATTTTGTTAATGCAATAAATTTTTTTTTGTTTTGGTGTACCGGAATTATACACTCTCTATGTTTGTCATGCTTTTTGTTGCATAATGCAGTGAAATAAATTAGGGATTTCTGACGATCGCGAAAGGTAAAAATAGTATGTCTTCACTTCTGACGTTTTCAGGAACCAAGGAACATGGAGATGTTTTCTGATCTGAGAATTGAATAAATCTTCATGGTTGCAGTAACTGAGGGTATTACTAGGTTATAATAATGCGAAGGTTTTCGATAGAAGAAAGAGTGGTACTGCAAGGTTCTTCAAATCTTGGGCTTTGTTTATTTCTTTGATGAACAAGTATAATGTTTTGGATTACCAGTTTATGAGTGGCCTGAATTGATAAGAGGATTTATTTCCACAATTTGCAGGATTTGAGGGGATTTCTGATGTTGTTGAAACTCGGCGCTAGGACATGGTTTTTTTCCACTTGTACCTCATCGTCTGCATCGTCAAGAAGGCTGACCAAACGGCCGATCATTCCAGATAGGGCTAATCGGAAAGGCGAGGTATTTACATTTCAAATATCTCCGTCGTTCATTGTTGATTACTTCTTTTACATAAGTGGTCAGCATATTTTTTCACCGCTACGCATATTTTTTAAGGCGAAAGCATTTATTGATCAGAGAAGAGTAAGTTGTAAAGCTGGTAATGGTGGTAATGGCATGGTTTCATTTCGGCGTGAAGCAGGCGTTATGTTCGGCGGTCCGGATGGAGGTGATGGAGGAAATGGTGGTCACGTTATTTTCGAAGGTTATTTGATTTTACAGCTTCATATTAATGATCGATGAAACTTTATTACTCTTGTACAAATAACTGGTGATTCTGAAAATAATGTTTTCAGTAGACGCACTTGTTAAAGATCTTTCTCGCTTACCAACCATCATAAAAGCGATGAATGGTGAAGGTGGCCATTCGAAAAGTTGTCATGGGAAAAGTGCTCCACATAAAGTAATTAAAGTGCCTGTAGGAACAGTGTTGAAGGAACCGCACACTGACAGGGTAACTTCCAGCTTCTTCATCCTTCTGCAGTTATGACTTTTATTAATTTAAACTACTTTTCAGGTAATAATTGATTTGAACAAACAGGGAGCGGTCTTCCTCGCTGCTAGGGGAGGCGCTGGTGGTCATGGTAATCAGTTTTATAAAACAAACGAAGTACGAGTCCCATTAAAAGCTGAATTAGGTGGATTAGGTGAAGAGGTTAGTTTGTTTTCACATCATTTTTAGTTGCAGAGCTCTGTTTGTTTTATATCCTATCTGCTGAAAGTCTGTTTTTGAAAATCTGCACTGAAATGTGAATTAGCAGAAAGTTTTTTCATCGTTAAAAATATTTAACCATTTAATTATTTCTAAGGCTATCATTTCAGCTAACATATGACGTAGAAATGCGTAGAATTGCTACTGCTGGATTAATAGGATATCCTAACGCTGGAAAATCGTTGGTTTTTCGAAATTTTCTAAATATTTAATCTTTTCCTGCATAACATTAAGGAAAAATGATCACCAAAAGTGATATCTAATTTATATTGAAAATATTTTCGGCATTCGGATTTTTAGTTCACTTTTGCGTGCGATCTCTAGAGCTAAACCCAAGGTGGCTTGTTATCCATTTACTACTTTGACAGCCTACATCGGTGTTGTGCATTATGACGATTTCACACAAATTGCTGGTGCGTTTTGGCATCTTTTTCAAGTCTAAAGTTTTCATTTCGGTTTAAAAACCAATGCAATGGATTTACAAATCTTTTTAGTAGCGGATATTCCTGGTCTTGTGGAAGGGTCACATGCAGACATCGGACTTGGACATAGCTTTCTAAGGCATATTACACGATGCCATTGTTTGTTTTATGTTTTGGATTTAACACTGTCACAATTTCGGGTTCGTTTTTTGATTATTATGAAGTAGAAAGTTTATTCTGTTTTACTGCATTTTTCTGTTAATGCATAATTCAATTATATTTGTTACTTTAATTTTTAGGAGCAATTTGATTCATTAAAATTTGAAATAGACCAGTACCAGCAGGATTTGAGTAATCGACCTAGTACTATTGTCATAAATAAAGTGGATTTGGCGTCAATGGATGTATGTTTTTGTTAATATTCTTATTTTCTAGTGTTTAGTGCCCCAGTTAACAGAAACTTTCCATGGGGACTTTACATATCGTACGATTTCGCTTCTAACTGTCTGCTCATTTTATATCAAATATTAAGGAATCTCAAAAAATTTAGCTGAGCTAAATGAATCATTTTCTAAATAGCAGAGTTTGTATGGAAGTTGTCAAATGGTTTATATTTTTTACAGTTTGATAAGGATGCCGTTCGGCAACAGTTCCCTAGCTATTCGGTATTCTTTATTTCGGCCAAATTCGGTAGTGGTATTGAAGAGCTTCTAGTGCATTTACGCGAGCAATATGACCATGCAAACAATATAATAGAACAGACTCAAGAGCTATAAAAAGGATCACAGCATGAGAATATGGATTTCGTCACTATCATTGTTATCATCGTCATTATCTATAACAGAAAATCCAGTCTAATTCCGTTTATTTCTTTATTGACGGTAAAAGGCCGTTTTCAAGTTTGTGAAGATATTTATAGTATGTTTAGTAAAGAAATAAAGCATGAAATAACGGTGCTGAAGTGGTATTGGCGAATTCTCTGCTGCCAAATATGAATTTCTTTGCAATCCAAAGTTGATCGTAATTTGGGTAAACATTTGCTGCTGCAATAATTGTTGCCAATTGTACTACAGTTAATGGAATTATCTATTTTTACATAAATTTTCTTCATAAATTTATTCGAATGCTGTTTGTATGTTCTTTCACAAAATTTCAACAAGAGTAAGAAGTTTTGGTAATAATGTGAGGGTTCTTTACTTAGTTTTTCTTTACTGATTGTTCCAAACTGTGTATTTTAGTACAAAAAATTAGTACTTTAGCACTTGGATCATAGTATACTGAAATGGGGATTAATAAGAATAACATCCAAAACAATTTCCATTGCTATCAAGTATTTAATAAGAATTAAAAAGTTAAAGCGGCCAAAGAAGCTTATAGCAAAAGAATACGTATTGATGATGAGGTTTTTTCATGTTGACTTTCATATCGCCAGATTATTTTACATTTAAATAGGCAGTGTTTTCGAAGCATAAGAAATGATTAGTAAATCGAAAGTTATTTCAAAATCAAATTGTGTTGTCGTGTAGGTTTAATGAAAAGTCTTTCAAAAGTCAAATTTGAAGCGTATGAAAAGTTGAAGATAGATAAAATTATTTGATTTTTCTGTGTAAAAAGGTTCCAGAATTTTCACAGTTATGTGTTACAGCATAAATCTCATCAATATGAAAAAAATTCGCTATATTTAATAGATAGTTGATATATTCCGTTATCTTATCATTATTAGAGAAAGTTATTGAAGTGTTATTGTTGATCAAAAAACTTCTAAACTATTGTAAGTATTGATGGATTTTTAAATGAGCGGATTTAATTTGTACATGCGTGGAATATGCCGAGCTATACATCAAACTTGATGAATCAATGTGTAAAAAACATAGGAAAATAATTAAATATTTTCTATCTATCGGAGATAAATGAAATTGTTGATTCATAAATGTTAATGCATTTCATAGCGTGAATTGTCATACCATTTGATAAAAATACATTTGTGCTATTCCTAAGAATGTAATCTTTTTTGATAGTTATACATCACTTTTCGGGGAATTGAGTATATAAACATTATGTTATGCCTATTATATTAATGTTAAAATATATAATCGATCCCCTCTTTTTCCATAGTTTCGTTTCCTTTGATATCTTTCCTTCCTCTCTTAAAACTTCTCCTCTTTAAATACTTTTATATGTTTGTATCGTTCAAAATTCTTTTTACACTATTATTTTTTTGAGCTTTCATCAATTGTTTGTTAGAATATAAATCAAACAAACTATTAGCAAAGCTAACAAAAAAGCAACAAATAGTCGTTAGAAATGAGGTAATAGTTGTTGCTGTTTTTATATAAAATCCTATTTAACTGGTAATAAATGAATTTAGGAATTAAATACCGCAAAGGAAGTGGTAATTATTAATATTACTCGTTTTCAAAAGTTACATTTACGATAAATTTAGCTGCAAAAAGTTTTTTTCTGAGCAGACTTTACTATTGCTTTAATTCAATGCAACATAGAGAAGATTAATATTTCTTTTCCATGAATATTGAAATAACGAATGTAAGTTTGCATGAAAAATTATATCTTTCTTTCTGAAAGATAGCTTCTTCAGTAACTTTTCCAATATGCATAGTAACCGTGACATAACTTCATTTTAGATTTCGATTGCAACAATTCCATTTGTAAAAAGACTTGATACGGTAAAGTATGCAGTGCTTTTGGATGGAATGGTTCAAATTATATGGAAGGAGGACATTTAAGCTAACACTATTCCATATAGCGCTAAAATAAGCCATGCTTTGTTGTGCTAACACAGAACATTCATGCTAATTCAATTTCTCTTATAAAAAAGAGTGAGCAAACTAAAAAACTTTTTCACTCATCAATTTATCCCACTCAGTAACAGATTTCTATTATTCTTGTTTTTCTTTTTTGATAAAATTGCAACGATATAAATAAGTATGGATTGAATGCGATAAATTTTGATATGATTGAAGCAGATGGATAATCCTCTCCAGTAGTATATCAACAAAGATAAGAAGTGATCAGTAGGAATAGATGTTCTCTCTATACTTCCGAAAGACGTTTGTATTGCTATCGCCTCAAACTAATTTATTCAATTCTCTGTGCAGTAAACATTAAAAAATAGCAATTCTATTTATTTCTTCGAAGAAAATCTTACGTGAAATATCTTGATAGTTTATTAATGTCCAGTAAAGAATGATTGACACAATTTGTAGTCATTTTCAAAAGTTCTTTTAAACTAATTTTTTATTAAAGCTGAAAATGGCATCAGAGAAGATAGAGCTTTTCATAGCAAATTTGTACTTTTTTTCAAAGAGTTCGAAGACAACAAATATCTCAGGTCAATGCACATCACATTCTCAAGCATTTTATATTTCAGAGGAATTGCAAAACATTCATGCAATATTTTTGCGCAATTGCTGCTTTTTTAAATGATCATTGCAATTGAAAACGGACGGCTGATGGAAATTTTAATTTGTTATATTTCAACTTGGCAATTATGTCTGATAATGGTTTGAATTACGAGAGTTTGACGGATGAAGAATATGAGGATATTGTTGCGCATTTTTTGACACCAAATAAATTCGAAGTATTTACGGTATTTGTATTTCTATCATTTATGGCTATTGGTGTTTCTGGGAATTTATTGGTCGTTTATATTGTTATTCGTCAGAAAAAGTTGGTAAGATTATTGATATTATCATAAAAGTGATTGAGTTGTAGAAGTTGTAGTTTTAGTTGTAGAAGCTTTCAGATTTAATCAGTGAATTAATATGGAGTCTAAATTTTCTAGAAAGTTATGCAATAAAATATTCCGATTTGAAGAAAACAAAAGAAATATCGGAGAAAATCCGCTCTGTTGATATCAAATTCAATTTTCTATGCTCATAATGGTTTGATTTTTATATGTCAATGCTTTAAATGTTCAGCAGCAACAAATTTAATAAAATTATCTCTGATAAAAGAATTTATCAATGAGAGAAGCTGTTGTCTGTGATGAAGAGCAGTGTGTGTTATTTGTTTCCATTTTTCTCGTCTTCACCAAAATTATACTTTGCAATTTTCATCGAAAAATCATCAAGGTTGAATTATTTTCAATTAATAGTATAATCATACATCAATGAGAGAATATAATATCTGTGCAATGATATAGTATATATTGATTGATTGATTGACAGATAGATTAAATGGTAATTAAGGATTTCAGTTTCACTTACATATCTATAATATTCTGTAGTAAGCAAACAAGAGCATATGTTGTTGTGAAGAACATAAAGTTTACAGTTCTTTTTCAAATCATATTATTAAACTTTTAAATTTCTTGAAAAACTTGAATCGCTTAATTTTACAATAAAATAGGCTGAACTTATTTAAACTTCCTTAATTTGATGCACTTCACTGAGGATTCAAAAAAGATATGGAATATATAAGAAACATATCCTTCAGGAGCTGATATTTACGGAATCATTACAATTCAATAGAGAATATTTTCATATTTTTTTAATTTCTCTTATCTTACTTTATCTATTCTTTCAATTTGTCTTCTACTTTATTCTTTTTTATTTCAAAATCTTAGCTGAATATTTCCTTCAGATCAAAAATTTTTTGAACACTTTTATCTTTAACTAACATCGGATAATCGGTATAGATGAATATCAATAGAGTTATTACTGTAAAGTAGTAAATTTTTTGGTGATAAAGAATGATTACAAAATCAGTTGCTATTGTTTTATGATCAGATGACTTTAAAAACTGGTGTTATCAGGCTATGGCAAAACACTAAACAATATTACATTTTAACAATGTGTTTTTTCTCTTCATACAGCACCAAAATTCGTAAATATAATTTTTGAGAACTGTTTGAAAAATTCAAAAATTTGAAGTTTTAAGAAAACTTGAAAAGATTGAGAGGAAATTTAGGGAGCAATTGTAAAATGATACTTTATAATGGAAACACTTTAAGATAAAAACTAACAATTTTGATGTATCTGTAGAGATCTTCATTCCCTCAATAGCAAATTTTATTAATGAAATTTTAATACATTGCTGATAAATCTATGAATTTCATTGTGATCGATGTTAAATTCATTGAGAAAAATAAATAAATAAATAAGCTATGAGATTTTTTTTGCAAAATTATTTAATTCAAATAAATTTTTAATTTTGTGAACTTTTAAAAGTATATGTAATGAATGAATTAATATTTCGAATAAATGATTTTATTAATAAAAATGATACGATGAATATTTAAGTGGACATCAATGAATTTCTTTTTGGCAAATTTGGCTGTTTCCGATCTTCTTGTACTTTTAATTTGTCTACCACCAACAGTTGTCAATGATATCACAAAAACTTTTTGGTTCAGTTCAATTGTTTGCAAAGCTATCGTATTTCTTCAGGTTTGTATTAATAATTGTTACAGCTTATCTCAATCAGTCAGTCATAGCATTAAGTTAAAAGCACTTTTATAGCTTAAGAATCTCTAAAATAAGTCAGTGAAAATTATTTCATTCCTCTACAGCCAACATCTTCTATTTTCTAGAAATAAAATTAAAATTCTCATAAAACTTTATCAAATTGGAAATCACATGAGATTTTAACAAATTTATCACTTTATCAAACTTTTTAATAAAAAAAACTTTATCATATTCTATAGAATACCAGTGTGTATGTAAATATTTTTACGCTTGTATGTGTTTCACTGGAACGATGGCATGCAATAGCATCACCGTTTAAACAAAGAATATGGCAAACAAAACAAATGATAATACTAATATGGATTACTGCAACAGCATTATCAATTCCGGAATCACTAGCGGTTGAAACTTATCCGGCTGTCTTTAATCGACCAAATTTTACTACCAAAGTAAGATGGAATTTGTTTACCCATGTATTACGTTGATGTTATGATCAAAGATAATTGCAAGGAAAAATTCAAAATATGAAACATTCATTATTCATCAATTCAATCTGATCTGATAAAAGAGGAGAATGTATAAGTGAGATTAATCACTAATCGATGATGCTATTTAAAGCCATTAGTTCCTAATTTTGAAACAAAAAAAATATTTTAGAAAAAAATGGCACATGAAAATAATAAAAGAAATTACACAAAATCTTTTCAATGTAAATTCTTGCATCTCTGCTAAAAATAGATATTTTCATCCCTAAAATCAAATACTATGCTTATCACTTTTATCACGTTTTAAATGTGTATTTTTAGTGGGGCACAACATGTAAGGAAAGTTGGTCAGTTGGAATGCAGCGCTGTTATCAATTAATGCAAACGATCGGTTTATTTTTCTTGCCCTTATTGTTAATCACTACCTTATGCATACATATGGCAATTGTTTTATCCAAGAATGTATTGTCATTAGGAAAGCGCCAAATAACCAGCAGGTACTGTCCACTACTGTAACCGATAAACTGCCTAAATGTCAAATCTGAGGTTAAATTTAGTGCATAGGTCAAAGATATGTATTTGTGCAAATAATAAAATTCAAATTAAAAATACATTAAATTGAAAATATATTATCCTACCTATAACCATGCCCATCTACATATTCCGGAAATCTCAATTTATCCGGGTGAGGATGTAATCATTCATTAAATACATGTAGAAAGGATGACTTTTTGTAGCTATGAAAACCTATTGGAAAATTTGCTCAACTTTTCTGGAATGTCAAAAATCTTTTTCAATGCTGTATGATAAGATAACTCTATTTACCTGATTAGATTGCTTTTATCATTCATCTATCTTGTCCGGATGATTTATGCCTTTATTCCATGTTTACAGAATTTTGAATTTTCATGTGATAAAACGCTAGAGTTAGTGTTAAACAAATTTATCGTTATTTATTAGACAGATACAAAATATATCGATTCCATCTATATCTGGAATAAGAGAAAAGAAAAAAGGACAAGCGAGAGACCGAAAAGAAATACATGATCTTTCCGGGAAGTCTCAATCAATGGTCCGAAATATTTTCCGTTGTCATTTCTGGAGCAAAAATTAACTAAAAATTATCTGATTTTTTATTTTTTCGAACAAAGTTGACAATTGTTGTAAAGAAAAAAAGATTTACCTAGAAGTGAATGTAGTCTGAGAAAGCTGACTACAAAAACGTCCTTTAACCTTTTCAAAAAACAGAAACAGCAAGCAATCCATAATAAGAGTAAGTTTCAGTTTAGAATTAATCATATCCAGAATTTCAAATTTCTTGTTTTTTTGGATAAGTTTGAAAATCTGTTTTTTGTTAATAAGTTGGTTGTAGTCATCAATCTACATCACTTTAATATTTGCTCAAAAAAGATATTATGTCCAGTTATTATATTTCAGCTATTGATATTGATCTTTTACAGATATAAAATTATTAGAAAGAATTTTTGTTACACAAATTCCCCAATTTATGTGGTTAATATGATTTGCATATGAGTGGATAACAGTATATCTGATATCTGATATTTTAACCTCAAGAATTAAATTCATTATCTAAGCATTCTGTTTGATGAATCATCCATGATTATTCTATTTTTTCTCAATTCTATTGCAATTTAAATTTAAAATATGAAGGATGGATGAATAACTCGAGTGAAATTAAATTTTTTAGAAGGAAGGCAACTAAAATGCTTTGGATGGTTGTAATCTTATTCGCTCTCTGTTATTCCCCTATACATTTCTATAATCTCGTCTCGTAAGTTTTAGACATGAAATTTTATAACTGAAAAAAAGTTTAACTAATAGAATATTCTGGAGAAAATGAGATGAGGAAAAAAGATGCTCGTTTCTAACAGTTTCAAGTCATTATCATTAATTGCGGTAAAAGATAAAGTGCCTTTGAAATTTATTAGCAACTTTCCTCGATTCATCATTCATTCCCTTATTTCTTCAATTATATTCGTTAAGTTTGATTTTTCTAATGTTCCAGTGCTTTTAATGTTGTTCCATTCGCATCATTGTATAAGTATGATATTGTTTTTTTTCCTTGCGGAAGTTTATTCCGAGGTTCATGAGTTATTCGTCATGTTGCATCAATCCAATACTCTATCATTTCATGAGCGGTAAGTTCTTCCCTTAGCTCTAATTTCAAATTCTAACTGTCAAAACTTTCATTTCAACATTAGAGAAATTTGAACGAAGTATAGTCATTTCCTACACAAATTAACAGTGAAAATTTTATTTGAAAGATGGGTATTAATAAAACTCAACAGAATCTTGAAATTAAGTAGCTAATCATCCCGTAGCAAATATTGCAATATATCATAATTTGAAATGCAGAAATTTCCGAATTCACCATTCTCAAAAATTTTACATCACAAATAGCATCTGCTAAATACGTATTAACATGTGTAAGCAGAAACACACGATACCAATTTAGTTTTGATTTATAACAAGAATTTGGAGAACACCAATCTGAGATACACAAATAAAAGAACCGTGCAGGATATATTGAATACGCAGAGTTAATTTTGTAGACAAAGAATTTTGAATACTATAAACATTTTGAAGTTTTTTTGTTTTTTCAGTATTCTAAAAAAAAGGATTGTAATAGCTAATAGAGAGATAGCATGATAATTACGGTATTTCTATTTGTATATAATTAATTACACACAATTACAGTATTTGTAATTCGCAATGTTATTAACATTCAGATAAATTACCCGTGCCTTCACTATAATTAAAAGAATATGGAAAATGAAATAGTACGTTGAGGCATCATATAAAGTATTCAAATAAAGTGAAGTATGTAAAACAGTGAAAAACTCTGCACTGATATTAATTTACATACCTGTAAAATCAGATAAAAATTTAATAAATTGAGAAGGATGAGAAATGAACTGAAACAACTCCCATTGTGATGAGGAAGAAGTGACCCGTGACAAGGACAAATTTAATCATAACGTTTTAAAAAAGTTTCAACAGAAATGTTCAGCAACGTAACAAACAAAAATTTTTTTCTGCTTATAGCTAAAATTCAGCGCTATAATTTCAAGGGAAAAGTTTCAAGTTCAATAACTTTAACAGTATAATAATTTGAAACTTTTTGAATTCTTCCGTCCTTTGCAGTTTGTAAAAAATAAAAGTAATAATATGCAATATGAATATGAATTGATGGAATGATAAACAAATAAATTAACTATAAAATAATAACAAAGAATTAATTATTACAAAATCCATACTTAAAAATTTGTTTAGCAAAATAATCGAGAAATAAAATTAAACATACAAGAAGGCGCACTGCAAATCATCAAAAAGAACCCCGAATTGCTATCGATACAAAGAAAAAAAAAGAAATCAAACTTCAGAAATTTAAATTTCAAAGCTTTTGGAGTAATCTCATTGTGTCTGAGATAATAACAAATTGATGTAAATAAGTATAAGTGCAAATGACTTAAGATTTTTTGTGATAAAATGAAAATATCCAAAAAATGAATGATAGTTTTTAAAAAAATCGAGGAAATTGCTTGTTCAACTATTTAATGATATTGAAATTACTCGTTTTTTCAGAACGATTCCGACATGAATTTCGATCTATCTGTTGTCCACATAAGTGGAATGATTCAATAAAACGTAACAAATATGATGATATTGATCGGAAAACAAATCTTTAATGATTTTTAATGAAATAACAATTAATATCAACGTTTTATGCTTAAATCTAATGGCTCTTCATTTATTGATTCCATTATCTCATTTGATATTTTCATGTCGTGTAAAGTGGTACTGCGCAATATTGGTGTTGTCGATCGATATAATACTGCCGATTGTTGACAGTTTTGAGCAAAATTATTTCGTATTGTAGCTAATGCTATCGGTAAAATAGGTGGTTGATTGAGTAATGAGGCAACAGATCGGTGAGTTTCAACAATGGATGGTTGAATTCGAATGGTTGATTGTAATTGTAAGCCGTCTGGATCATTTTCCGATCTATGTTGACTACAATTTCCTCTAGCATATCCTTTTTTTATGTCATCATGTTGTTGATTTTCAACAGAAAGTGGAGAAATTAATTCTTGCAATGGTTGTTCTAATTGGTGCTGCCCTTGTATAAAGCCATAATTTCCTAATACTGACAATTCGGTGTCAATATTTCGTGATGTATTATCACTCATACCTGTTCTTATGGTATTTGAGATAATGCTATCATCCGAATTAGATGCAACAGATGATGACGAGGAACAACATGTGGTAGGCCAAATTGTTATTGCTTCAAGACTTTGCTGATGTACTACATTTTGCATTCTCAACTCGCATAAAACTGTATGCAAGAGTTGTGGTGCTGCAGCACGACAATCTTCCGAAAATGTTGCTTGAAATAGATCACTTAAACGATTGTGAATAAATGCAATCAATTCCGGATGATGCATGAGGGGTTTATCGGAAACACACATACCTGCAGCACCGATTAATGCTATCTGTTGATTAGTCAATTTTAATGTGTTAAATTTTTGCAAAAAAGCATTTAAGGATGAATAGAAATATTGATGGACATGTTGTCCGACTGGTGATTGAAGTGTTAAGTGAGTTTTATTGGAGTTAAGCGATGAGAGCATTGCTAGTACAATCGTTTGAAATAACGTACCCTGAAAGAGCGGTTGATTTTTCATTTATTACTTTCCTTTTATCATTACTTTAACAAATTTCTTCAACTTTCTAAGCTTTCGCTACAATTACATTATCTTACAATACAAATGTGAGAATTTAAGTTCGATCATTCTCAAATGTGTTTTGTAGGATTTCAAGGATCGACCAGAAGTTATATTTTCTTTTAAGAAAAGAAAGAAGTAGTTTACCCTCAGTAACTGAACTCGGTCTTGATGATGTAACATACTGAATCCTGGAATTGACTGAGAGAAATCGTAAGCTGCTTTTATTGCATGATGAGCATTTACCCTGCAATGAAACTAATAAACAAACTTATTTATATACTCTCAGATAGCTAACCTATCAATAGTTCTTTCCAGTATCAAAAATTAAAAAAGAAAAAAAAAACAATAATTTTAGCTACTACTTAAATATCGATATCAATTATTCAAATTAGGTGATAATTCAATCAAAATCAAAGTATTCCATAATTTACCGGAATCTCTTCGGAGAATTTTAGATAGTATGAGCCATAAGACATTGTTTGTTACAACAATATAAAACAAAAAATACCTTCCCACAGGACAGACAGTTTGCACCGGAGGTTTATCGAGAAGCTTCTTCACATTGTCTATTAGCTGTAAGAAACCGGTAAAGCAGGATTCTATTACTGAATCACTATCAATAAGTGCACTTTGAACTGCATCAGTTAGCGTACGCGCTGTAACGCGAGCCAATTCCTCAGCCATTCTAACCTTTTCATGCTTTGGTACACGACCGAATCGAACGGCTGAAAAAATAGAAAAGGGGCTATTATGCGGTAAAAGAATCAATATCTGAGTAAGGAACGAAAGTCTGAAAGAAAATTGAACTCTGAATGTAATAGGCCAATTCAATTAAATTTCAAATTTGATGATTCGTAAATTCTGGCAATTTGATTCATTTGTTACATGTAAAAGAATTTTAAACTTATAATATTAAGTATTATTTTTCAAATTTATATTTTTTGGCAAAGCTATTGTCATTCCTTTTATTAATTGTTTCAAACAACAATTGACTGAATATTGAAGGAATAAATATCAGTCACGGAAAAATTTAGAAATCAAAAGAAAAAGTTCAATCAAAAATATCAATGTCAGCAGCAATGGAGTGAGCCCCCAGCAGAAATTCAAACATTTAACTTCTCGGGTTGTCAATTTCAGATGTAAAATGTTTTACTCTTTACAAGTTCCTTTAAGTTGTAGTCATATTCGTTTTCAATTCAAATTTTTGAATTAAATAGAGCAGGACGAAAGTGAAAATTCGGGCACGAGAGAAAGGAACTAACGCAGTCGAAATTTACAAGGCCACTAGCAAACAATTCAATGTTGGACAGACATCCCTTTCGTCTTTTCAACCTTCCCTTCCCAGTAAACACATTTTGAATATTCGCACAAAATGACCCATATAGTCACAGTATTCTTCAACCTATCTATTCTAATCAAGGTCAAACCACAATATACACTTTGGGTGCCTCTTAACCCAGATCAAGGTTAAACTATAAACTCCATTTAAAAGCGTTTCAATCAAGGTCAAGGTCAAAAACACATTTCTATTTCATCATTCTAAATTTAATAAAAGCTAAGGTGTAAATTCATTTAGCGTTTTTTTTCAATTCAGATCTACTAATCTGGCAGAGAAAAGAATCGAACGTCCATTCAAAATTTGCGAACAATTTAACCGATAGTACGAACAAATCATGCTTTTCAAGGAAAAACGTTATGGAAAGAAAGATTAACAACAATTTGCAAAAAATATCAAACTTGCACACCTTCTCTTGACATTCCGACTTTGATACATTTTTGTAGCCTACAATGTTGACATCGATTACGATTGTTCCGTGCGACGATACATTGTTGGCTTCTTGTGCACGGACGATATTGAATTTTCTGCTGAATGGAACGGCGAAAAAAACCCTGTAAACAAATTCTGTATAGAAAAATTAAATAATATTCTTTTAAAGGATAAAAATTGAGATGAAAAAAATCAATAGAATTTGTAAACAAATAATTAGTCTACGGAAGAAACAATCACAAAATATCATAATAATCAGTTCCCAAGCAAGTTAATCTAACAATTTTCCAAAACAAATCAGATGTGATTTTTACGGAGGAAAAATTTATCAATTTAGGAATGCTAAAAAAAATAAATTAAATAAATTTTTTACCTTGCAACCTTCGCATGCAAAAACGCCGTAATGGAAACCGGACGCTCTATCGCCGCAGACTTGGCACAAATAATTGTTACTCGTTGTAGCGGCTGGAAATGAAACATAGAGGCGCAAACCAACAAATATTTACTATCTTTTTTACCCCCATTTTTTCCACACTAATTCCTTCAAGCAGTACAGTATCCTGATAATAAACCTAATTCACCAAAACTAAAATCCACTAATAAAAGCTCACTGTTCATTTGCTATCCCTCTAGTTGGTATTTTAAAAGTAAAAGTTTAAAAAAAGTGAACAAATATGAAACTACGTAATTGCGCGAATGCATTGTTGTACAAAGGTTGGCGAACAAAAACCAATTCATTAGAGATGCGAGTGGGGTTACTATGTCATTTACAGTTGAAATGACCTCAATTTGTTAGCGGAGGTCGAAGATTAGCATTCAGTGATTCACTATTTAGTGGTAACATATCAACACATTCAATACTAATGAGCGCAATAATTCCAACTTTAGACAAACAAACAAAGATTTTCAATAGAAATCAAGAGTTCTCAATACATCAGACATTTATTTAATCGTTATTATATATACATATTAATTTCAATTCAATAGAAACATCCATTCTTAATCTATCTGACCTCTCATGATCTGCATTTACTGTGAACTTTCTAGGCACCTGATCTCGGTCAAAATATTAGCTTCACTTTAACTCCAATAAATTGTCTAACGATTTGTTGCAAACTTGCATTTTTGTTCCTGACTATGTAATGTCTAAGCTATCTGAAAAGATTTTTGGAGTATTTCATTGGACTTCAAAGTACCATCATAAAACACGCACATTTCAGGTCCTCTATACTTGCCGTTTTTTCTTTCTATTAGAATTTAATTCTTTTCAGTCCACTATTCGGTGAGATATTATGATAGATACTTGTTCTCTTTTTCAAATTCCAGGCTACTAGAGATGCTTTGATATTTGTGAAGTTGCTATAAAATGTCATGGGCACGTTTTGCATACACCTTATCTGAATGCTACCTCTAATGCAAGATAATTACCATCACTCCAGCAGCGTGTTAAAAAAAGATGCTTTAGATGAATTTCATTAATTATCGTTGAGATGCAATCTTGTCTGGATTCATTTTCCAATTGCATCTGTCTAAAAGGAGAAATTAAGGGAAGCTTTTACCTGAAGTGAATGAAGAAGTGATCTTTGCTCTCAGTCGAGTGATAACTCATACAGCATGCAAAATTTGACCTACCATTTCTAAATCATCTCTGCCCTGGTTGCTGCACATAATTGGCCCCATTTTCTACCGTTCCAAATATTCCTGCCTTTCCCTTTCTTTCTTTGTCCCTCCTCTTTCTCCCTTTCCTTATAAAAAGAACCCCTCGATAATCCTCCACCGTTTATTATTACTACTGTTACTGCCAGTTTCCCCAACTGACCTTCAAAAACGAAGTAATAAAAAATGAAAATAAGAGAAAGAAAACAAAGAGTAGAAAGCACGAAAAAGAAAAATGCTGTAATACATATCACTACGAGAATGAAACTTTCTTTATCAGTTTCATTATAAATTGTAATGATTAATTCATTTTAATTACTATTATCATCTTATTATCACTGTATGTTATAAAACATCCGGCAACTGTTGCATCGAATTTGCTGATAATATGTAAGGTATCTTAATTCTTTCCTTTATTCCCTCTTCCTCATAGCAAAAAAAGTACATTCCCTTTCTTTCTCTCTCTCTCCTCCTCTTACCTTTTGAACTTTAGGAACAAAATTTCATTTTCGTCTCTCTAATTTACTCGTGTAGTAAATATGACAGCGATGCATGTACAACACACACACACACACACACACACACAACACGCATCGAAAGAAACAATACGTAAAAAAGTAACTTTAAAAGTGACCGTCCTTGGGATCACATGAAAATGATTTTTCAGCTTCACAAATCTTTCCAACTAATTGTTAACAATTTGTGGTATTTCTTTCTTCGCTCTTCTCAGCTTTATTTGATATACCTTTCAGTGATCTGCCTATTTTCACTCAAATTACTTGCCTTTCTCTTCTGTGCCATAATGAATTAGCTAGAAAAAGTATCGTTCATCAGCACATCATAATCCATTCTTTCCCTCCTTTTTCCGATCTTTCCCCATTTTCCGTGCTCGATATGAAATCGGAAAGTTTCTTTTACCAAAGATTCTTTTGGAATGGCTCAGTTACAACAGCAACTATTCGGAGTATTAGGCTGAATTAGAATAGAAATGATAATTGAGATGAATTCTTTTGCAGATTTCGAGGAAAAAAGAAAAAAAGATGTGAAGTGCAAAGTAAAAATATGGATTGTAATCTTTGAAAATAAACAGCCAAGCAATAACAGAGGGACGGTTAAATAGATTGGCCAAGAAAAAAAAGATTTTTTTAAATGGGACAAATAATTTTAGTTAAAAATTAATCTTCTCTTAATTTCAACTTGCACATTAAGAATTCTGGAATTTATAAAAGAATAATAATTGCAAAATGGAAATGAAAAAAGTTGAAAATTCTTTGGAAAAAAAACTTGTGATTCTGAGAAAATATTTACTAAATGATGAAAATAGCACTCTTCGCATAGTGCAGATTTAAATGAATTTAATTTAAAAAGTAAGCATCGACAGGTATTTATTTGTTAAAATAATAACAAAGCCCACTCATATGTACTTACCTGTGAATAAACAAAAACTGTCAGGAATGGAAAAGCTTTTGTTAAACAATCGGTTATAGTATTTTAAATATGAAAGAATACTAAGTTCTTTAAAGAAATAAAGAAGAGCTATTTTTTAGATTTTAAAATATTAGGATAAAAAAAGAAAAATTACATCCCATTCAGTCGGGTGGCATTATTCACTTCCACTTTTGTACACTGCAAGCCAAGAAGTTGAAGGAAGTGACAATGATGATGTCATACCAGCCATATAATAAACTCACCATAGTCACCATTCACTGTACCATCATTCTGTTGTTGTTGTTGTTGTTGTTGTTGTTGATGATGATGATTGAGGTGATGGTGATGATGGTTCTGTTCACTTTCATGATCTGATGGTGAGATGAGGGAATTGAGAGTTGTAACAACAAATGAGTCTGATGAAGTGGAGGGAATAATTGGTCGAAAAGCCGATGGCGCATTACCATTCAAAACTAGGTTTGTGGAAATGAAATTTGATTTTTCTGTTGCCGTTGTGACTGTTAATGTTGTCCCTGAAATAGTAACTGTTGTAATTGTTGTTGCCGAAAAACTTAACTGCAACTGCCAGTCGATGCGGTGTATGAATATTGGAAGATATCAGACGCTCGTCAAGAAATGCTAAACTTATTGAAGTATCATTAGTTGTGGAACTCACTGAAATTGGAAGCGTATGCCGGATTGTTGCTAGTAGTGCTTCGGTAAGTATCATTTTTGTTTGTTTCTTTTTTCATTGCATCTGCAAATTTCAAAAATATGCGAACAATAACAATAATAATACAGAAAAAGATTTGTCATAATTAAAGTACAAATTAACCACAAACAATATTTGCGTTTTTTTTTTTTAAAAAATGATTTAAGAAGAAAATAATGGCTATCTATAGGCAGTCTTTTTCGCTGTTCTCTTTTATACTATTCATTTTTTCATTTATATATATGTCAACATTAGAGCTTAAGCAATTTAGCTTCATTTTAATTATTGTAAACTTTTGGTAAGCAAAGTTAGTTTTTCAAATTTTGCAAATTTTTTAAAAGAATATTCATAAAGATTTTGAAATTTGTCTATTGGATATTTGAAATGATCTTCCAAGGTAAAGGCTAAGAAGTGCGATAAAGCAACTGCTTGGCACAAAAATTGCAGGCCAATAGAAGTGCTTCGGGAAGCGTTACTGCTCTGCCCAAATTGTATTTGTTGAGTTGGATGGGTTGTGGAGGTGTACAAGGTCAACTACCACTACTACCACTCTTTTCTTGTTCAACCGTCCGTTTCGCTGTTCCAAGCCGAAGCGCTCCTCCTCGCTCGACCGGCCAGCCTTTCCTTTTTCCCTCTTCCCGGTACTTTAACATATCCCTCTTGTTCATCATCCTCCAAACTGGAGAGTATTCTCATTACCGTTGATGAAAAGTCACACCTGCCTCTCCATCGTGTTCTCCATTGATGAGCAATGGCAACAGGTCGAGGTCACCATCTAACATTTTCCCTTTTACAAACTCTGTCATCTGTCCTCATTAAATCACACACATACAACTACATACACACATATACATACATATGCATCTATAGTATGTAAAATAAGCATGATATCAAACTGATCCAAGTTTTCCATTGCCTTTCTTCTTGTCTTAACTCTAAAGTTTCACATATAGCCATAACGAAATCATAATGTCAATTAAAATATCAACGACAACCCTAATGAAAACTTCGAAAAAGAGCAGTGACCCTTCATTTGGAAATAATTTGAAAACTGTGCTTATCAATTTAACTGTAATCCCTTCAGCGTGTTAATATTACTGACCAACCTTGCAGGTCAACACTTAAAAACGAAAGATTTGAAAAAAAATAATAAGACATAAGTCTATTTTTTTGTTGGTAACGGTAGAAATCTTCACGGATTTCGAGATTGGTGTCAAAAATGAGAAAGATGGATGTCCTAGTCATAATTATATCAATAAAGGTGATCATAAAAATAATACTCTTCTTGCAAACTACGATATTATCATCATTTGCTTTTTCCTCTCCATTAGCCAGATCTACATCACCAATACATTATTAGTATTCTAATTTAGTTTCAAGTTTCAAAAATGCTGGACCGATGAGTGAAGCAGTTATTGATAACTCAGCTACCATAAGTTGTATAAATATAGGTCATTAATTTTAAAGTGCAGCTAACAACAGTAGTGGAACGTCATCAGATAATGAGCCTGCGATATTGATTAGCAATGTGACATTCTTATCAAGTTTTTCAGTAATAGCATCAATGCTACTTACATTATTAGATAATATTTTATAAAAGAATAAAATGAAACTAATAGGAATTGTGGGGGGTCATCATTTCAATCAACCCCGAAATCAAGAAGAATTCGCAGCAAAGAAATTTCTATTGTTTAAAGCAGTAGTGAGGATGCGAAAAATGTTGTCAAAACGGAATCAGCAAATGGCAACTACTATATTTCAAAGCATAATGACACATGGCGTGATTCAGATAGGTCAACTTCCGATGGAGCGGTAGAATGAAGGACACTTTGTAAGGTTGTTTGATAGCAATTAATTGTGCAAAATCGAGGCGAAGCTTTGGGGATGGAGTTTTCTTTTAATGAATATGAAATATTTATTATAATAATAAAAAAATTGCTCTGCAAATCAACAAATAGATAATGAAAATTTTCGATTTTTAGCTACTGCAACTATCTGTTTATCACTAACTAATCTTAAAATAAAGTCACTGCTGAGATGTTAACGAGAATTTTGTCAATTGCTGAAAAGATATGAAAAGAGCATAAGAAACAAACAGGTGAATAAATTAAATGATACGATTCAGTGATTAATTAAGTCGGATTTTCCGATGTTAAGCTACCAATTGTTGAATTGAAAATGAAAGTTTAAAATATGAATTTCAGTTAAAAGAGAAATGTTTACATGAAATAAAGGGAAAAATCATTAGAAAAGAATAATATTGTCAACTTCAGATTACGATAATGAATGAAAGTGAAAGGAAATGATCTAAAAATGAAATGAGAAGAGCGAGCTGACAATCGAAGGCGATTTATAAAAGTGGATTAAATAAAACTTACCTAATGACCTTTTACCCGACCGGTGGCGAAGTTAGGAGGTGGGAATTGGTAGTGATAATGACAGTAAGAATTATGACCTAAATTTAACTTCACCGAATGAAAATGTTCAAAGATGAACAGATTCACAGACTGTTCTTTTTCTATTCATTGAAACCACTGCTTATGGTGGGAATTTGACTGTAATGTTATTATTTTTATCCAATCACTTTCAACTAAAAAATCCGCCTAAGTTTTGAGCATATAAAACTGTTGCATATAATTTAATAGAACTTATACTTCATATGAGACAAAAATATCAGATGAGAAACCATATGAAGGTGTGCTTGGGCTTAGATGTGCATTAATTGCGCACCTGGCAATTTCTTTCGAAGTTTTTACTTGTAAAACTGATCCTATAAGCATTTTCAACAATAAATAATATCATTTTCTTTTTTCTCAGTTGTTTTGTAATTATATTTTCTGAAATCAATAAATTATTGCGGTGAAAGAAAATAAAACGAAATGAGACGTCTAATAATTATGTCTCTAATAATTATGCTTCTTTAGTTATAATCTGTCCCTTGGAATATCAAATTTTTGCATAATATGCAAATTTTCGTTTTGTCTTAGCTGAATGAATAATTTCTATGTCATCAAATTAGAAGGACATAATTTCAGTTCATTCAAACAATAAAAGATTGCCTGTGATGAATTCTCACTTTCTAGTTAAAAAAGATTTACGATGAAAATTTTTATTAAAATACAAGAAAATGCTGTGTTAAAATTTTCCTCCCACAACTTTAATAATTGCTCGATCTTCTGCAATTTCATTTTTAATTCTTTGAAGTTATCATTGTTCTTTTAATTAGTGTAATAAACACAATTCTACGTAATATTTTTTCAAACTTCTGCAACTTTCAAAAGTCATTGGGTGAAGAAGTGGGAGCTAATTCACTGTTGCAACTTAACGCTCCTTCATCAACTATACAGTATCATCAAACATTCTCAGAAATTTTCCTCTCACTTCAATTGTTCAAAATTTGTATCTTTTTGCTGTTGCAACTTTCAGCATAATTGTTGTAACCTTCATTCAGACTGTCTATTTAACTGTTCATCTAATATGCATTTTCATCACCAATCAATAATTTATTTTTGGCTTTGCTTTGTTTTGCAATTTATACCATAAATTTACACTTTTCTTGGTTATAATATTACAAATTTTTATTTCTGAAAAGGTGACAGTGCTGCCAGACGTCTTGTCGTATGTATTTGTTTGTCGCCTAAAGCTTATCCGATTTCTCGTTTTTTCATATCAACTATATATCCATCTCTCTCTAATTTACTCTCATCCTTTTACCAGCTATCAATATCTAACTTATAATTCCTCTCTAATTCTTTTGTTTCATTGATATCAAATCTCTCAAAATATTTTCTTCTTTTACTACTGCACACAATTTTTGCATTATTTTCCAAGAGATAGTGAAATTAACAGCAATAATTTTTTCAAAATTATTACAATATGTATTTAGTCGCTGTAAATGTTCACCTAAATATTTTAAAGTTTCTTTCTTGTCTATTAAGATTGGTAAGAGTATTAAAATTAATGGAAAGGAAATTGTTGGAGACGATATTGAAGGATCAACTTCTATTAATGACAAGAATTTTAATTCCTCTTGTCTTTCAGAAATATCTCAATTTCATTTATTTGAAATATGTATAGGTCTTTTTAGTCATGAAATAATTTTAGAAAGAAATTCAATTTACCTCATAGGCCTATGGCAAACTAATCAATCTAACTACACTTTGAAATTGCTACTTCGAAGCTGATTAAATCAAATTTCAAGGAACCTTTTCTTCAGGAACTATACCAACATATAGTCTAATTCAAGCCTTCATGGCTATAAGCTTTCAAATTTTCATATAAATCACTAAATATCATTAAATAAATAATAGGCAATGTAATAACCTTATTTTTCATGCGCACTACTTCATCCCCTCTTCATTACTTATTTTTTCACTAAAGAGCTAACAAACTGTGTATTGGAAAGATACTCTATTCTCGCAGAGATTTTTGAGATTTCAATTTAGAGTTCTGGTTCTATAACTAATATGCTTTTTTCTTCTTCCTCGCTCTACGCATTCCTTCCACTGCTCTTCCTGAAAATTGCGATATGCGAAGGATATTATTTAACTTCAAATTTCTTTCTCCAGCACTTGCTTAGCCAATCTTGCACCTTTTTACAATCAACAATGTTATTCCATTCCTCTTCTTGAATTGTAGTAATGGAAGTGACAGCTGCGTTAGCTTGCATTTCAGGCAAGAGGGAGATGTACATACTGCACTGTTGCAGGAGCAATAATAGCAAGCAGAGCAATAGCAAGTCGAGTGTGATCGAAGGAATCGTCATCTGCTCTTCTCTCCGATCATTCTTTTTCGCCCATTAGTTAGTCAAAGGAAGAAGTTATTTCTTTCACACCGATACTTTTATTAGGGTTGGGAATCGAACATGGATCAAGGAATGGATGAATCGATTCCCTTACTCCATGCCTATCTTCCAGGTACTGTTATTCTTTCTTGTATACAGATGAAAATATACTTTGATGAAGTTAGCAAAAGAATGCTATAGAAATTCATCGTTCATTCAATTATTCATTTGGTGCATTTTTCTTAGTCATTGAAAAATGTCTTCTGAATTCTTTTACTAATATCTGTTTATTTAGCAAAAAAAACTTTAAAGGATTTTAGAACTGTTATGAGGCTAAGATTAGATTGATAATAAATTTGCAAGAAGTACGAAAGGTTTATAATTAATTAAAATCGAAGTAATCATCATTACATGAATATGAATTCTTATCTAAATTTTTTTATTATATTTTTTTAAAAAGCTTTGAAATAAAATAATTTAATTACAACAACTTCTAATTAATTACAGTGATACACTTGAAATTGAAATTGAAATTCTCTTAATCTTTATAATGTTTTTCTTTTTTTCATTTCACGGTTTTCCTAATAAGTTTTACTCTTCGAATAAATGCAAGAATTGTGTCTTTTATTTACTACTTGAAAAGTTTGATATTTATTTCTATATTCAATATAGGATGCTAAGAACGTCGTCTAACGAAATTTACCATGATCGAAGATTGAAAGTAAATAAACAAAATATTTATATTTTCATTTCAAAGTTTTCAAAAAAATAAAATGAACAAAAATTATCTCCTTAATTAAGGCAATCTTTAATCACTTAAAGATCATAAAGGTTTTCAACTACCATCAGAAAATAAACTATCAACTTTATTCTTCCCTAAAGTTTAATATTTTCAATATTTATATATTTAGCATCATAAGCTTACAAATCATTCTTCAAATTTCTTATAATAAACTGCAGTGGTTTTGTTTTGTCGGTTCCCGATATACAAATATAAAGAAACTTCATGACAAATGAATTCACGGTTCATTCACGGTTATGAATCAAATATTCAATAAAACTGCTAGATTGACTTTAGAATTAAATTCCTGTTTTTTTTTCTTGTTTATATTCAAATTACTGCTGATAAGTTCTTACTTAGAAGTATTTGGTTCATTTAATCATTTTAAATGTATAATTTACTATTTAAACTTGCACTCATTTTACTGCTACCTCTTGAACTTTTCTGCAGTGTTACAAGAAAATCCTATTTTTTGTTTGCTCTCACTCTCGAGAGTTGAATTTGTTGAAATGGATTGGCTTTTTTATTTCCAATTCTGAATGTTTTCATCATTAACTTATTCTCATTAGATTAAAACTAGTCTTTCTTTTTTACAACATTACAAATTTTACTTTTACATTGAATATTTATTGTTTAACTTTCAAAAGGTTTTCACATCCTAAAAGTAGTATCATTAAAATAAAACATTTTCAAACTATTTTAGCTTTTTTAAAGCTTTTCTAATGCCATCTATTCTAATGAATTATCTACAACACCTAGGAGTACAGAAAAAAGCTGTTGATAAAATAAAACATACATTACAACATTAGAATGACTCACGATGTCGTTCTCTTCCAGATAGTCTAAATTTTTCTTCTCAAAAATTTTCTCTAAATTGTTCTCAAAATTTGTTCCATTATAAGATTAACAGGGACAATGCATTATGCACATAAAACTACTTATCGATTAATTTTATTATTTTTGGATATTCAGTAATTCTTGAAACTGATAGTAATCAATAAGACAGCTTTGTTTTTCTTTTCTGCTTATTGTTAAAGATTTTTTTAACGAAAATTGGAGTGTTGTGGAAATATATTTCTATGGATGAATAGTTTCATTTGTTAATAAACAGTTATCAAATTGAAGAACTGATTAGATGTGACTGGAAAATTTATCCTGCTTTAATATTTCCATATAAAAAGTAGATTTTAGTGAAAAAAATTCAGAAGCAATGAATCATGCAAGTGACTATACAGCATAGGAGTTTTTTATATTTATTTTCTATTTTAGTTTTTCATGTTATCTATATATATTTGCAATGGAAATCTATATCAATTAACATTGATGAATTAAAATTTGATATTAAATTTGCAGCTTTTACAAAAATCAGTGCTTACTGTTTTTTAGATATACAAAATACGATTTGTGAAGAGTTTCAAAATGCCGAATGCAGTGTGGAAGTGTCACCCGAACTCACCGAACCGCCATTTAATTTTGCATTCCATGCATTAGGCAAAAAAATTCATTTGCTACCGTCAGGCTCTATGATACCGAAGGATTTTCATCAAATTTCTGTCATATCGGTAAGATTTTACTACTTAAAAATTATTTGTTATTTGATTGTGAGACTATTTTAGATATGAAAGTTTATTTTTCACTGACATATCAATTATTTGCTTCAAAAAATATGGCTTACTAGTTAAAGCTTATTAATTTCTTAACTTCATAATGTAAAATAAAAGAAAACAATAGATAGGTTCTTAATGTCACTGAAGTTTCCTTATTTTACATTTTGCTTGGAAGCAAGCTTCCTAATAAGGATCATCCCGAGATATCTCAGGCTTGATAAATATTGTTCCATAGCAGATGTGTTGGTACTTTAAATCTGAACAGGATTGAAAGAAAGGATTTTTAAAAGAATAGATGGTGGAGGAAAAAAATGATAAATGATAGGTAAAATGTCATGATGGAATAGATTTTCCTAATACAGAAATGTTAAATAACAAATTCCTACATGTCAAGTGACATTTGCATAGAAAACGGATTTTTGTTTGGTTATGTTATAGTAAAATTTATCAATGATGTACGAGAAGTTTCCCAGGAAGAGTTTATCTGCTTTAATTTGTTGAATTTCAGGAAGGGATGGTTGTCACAGATGGACTTGCCAGTGAATATTTACATTTGGTTCTTGAAGGTGGTGACGATTGGAGGACACCGTTACAAAAAGTTTTCAACAAGAAACTTGGTATTAATTGGTGTTTTCTAGTTATGGAACTGCAATCGGATACCATTCACTTTTATACATTGCATGCGCAAACGAAACCAATCAAAAATTATGCGGAATGTACCACTTTGTGGTTAAGTGAACTAGAGCAAATATCAACATCGCAAGCATTATCAAAACCGAAAACAAACAAAAAAATTGTTAAGAAATCAATGGTGGAAAAAAATGCTATTGATACAGAAGTTAATGGAAAAATAAGTGCAACGAAGACGATCAAAAATGGTAACGGACAAAAAATTGTTCGTAAGAAACTTGCTGCAGCAATATTAGCAATATCACCAACAACGATTCCAGTTACGGACGATACTACGAAAACCGGAAATGATAGTTCTGTTAATAGTAAGAAAACGGTAACTTCGAAGGCACGAAATTCATTAACGAACAATATGAATGGTGAGAATTATATAAATGGTGATGGTTCTGCTGATTCAGGAATTTCGCTTGTTGATTCAGATACCGAAAAATCATCAAAATGTACAAAAGGGACTGCATTGGCTGAACACGAACGCATTATTCCATCAATGGTGAAACAAACCGAATCAATGAATGGTGCTGAATTTGCGATACCGATTCGGACGTCTAAAACAAACCTAGAAACGACTAATAATGATGATATGGATAATTATGATAACGCTACTATCAGTATTATATCTGCCATAGGTAACATACCAATATATCACAGCGATCTGCCTCCATCATTCACAATGCGTCGCAATAACATCAAATATGAAATGAATAAAAAAGTTGGAAGAATTGTGGAAGAAGAAGAGAAAGAAAAATCAGAAGATTTGGATAGATGTGATGGTGTAGAATTAACTAATGATCATAGTGTGCCAGATCGTTACATAAATGGACGTGATCCGTTGATTCCAGTGAGACGATCTACCCCAACATACATCAATTCAAAAATTTCTAGGAGCTTCTTGTCTAATGGTTCCGATAGTCTACAGAGGTGATTAATTTTCCATTTACTTTCAGAGAAAAAAATCGTCTATTAATATATTGATAGGTAAAGCTCATTCCTCCTTGGATTTTGAAATTTATAACGGAGTAAGTTTTCTTCCTTTATTTTTTATAGTTAACTTGAAAAAAAAAACAGCAAACAGATTAACATTTTCTTACTTTAGGAAATTAAATAGCGTAGTTGTCAAAATTGAAAATGGAAATATCAAATATATTTTAATAGTAAAAGTTCTGATAGGAAATGATTTCATAGTAAAACAAAATTAACAAAAATTCGTGTTTTATTTTTTGGGAAAAGAATGAAGCAAATGAATAAACAATAACACATTATTTTAGAAGAAGTGAGAAAAATAATAAAAAAGCAATTTTGAAAAGTTTTTGCATTTTATTCTTTGTTAGCTTTTTCTTTCTAATTTATTAAAAAACAAAGAAAAGAGTGAGAGGAAAGAAGCTTCGATACTACGCAACAGTTGGGTTTCGGTAATCATTGGCAGTTATTTTTAATTGGGCCATTTCGATAAAGAATACAAAATCTTTCAAATAATTTCAGCATTCTCAATTTCTCTTTCTTTTAGTGATATCCATCTTTCATATCTTTCATCTCAAATTTTCCACTTATCGATAGTGATGAAATTTGAACTCAGATAGATGAATAATATCCCAATAAAACTAAAATGGAAAATTATAAAATTACAACATCGCTAGATAATTCTAGAAATATAAATTCTAATTCATCAATTTATAACTATAAAAGCCTGTAATGTGGACCTTTTCTTTTTCTCAAAGCAATATTTCATCCAAATAATTTCTATCATAAATTTGTGAAGTGTGGCGAAGACATATTCATTTCTCATTCAATTTTAAATTTCTATTTTTTTCATCGATGAGAATTGTACATTGCTTCCGACTTCCTCTAGTCATTACTTTTTCCTAATGCTCTATAACAGCAAAAGTGATGTTTAAAATGAATTCCTTTTCTCTGAATGAAATGAAAATGAATTGACGACAGCTGTCACTACATTTTGAATTATTGAATTTATATAGACCAATAGGGAAATTTCAGCTCTCATATTCTTAGATTCCATACTTTTATTGCAATAAATTTATAAACATTTCACTAGATTTAATTAGAGTCAATCTGTTACCTACGATAACTGAAGTACTTATCAATACTGAAACTATTAAAACTATTACTAACAAAAATTTAAATGTGGTAAAATATTCATTAGAAGGAAAAATTAATAGTCACAACTTAATTTAAGCTTAAACTTACTAATATTACTTTTAATTTTGAGGGAATAATAGATTTTTAGACAATTTGGAAGTTTTAGGATTTCTTCTCGGGATGATATTTCAATAATACGAAGGTTTGCCGATCAAGAAATACCACCAGTACAAGTACTTCAGTTGGTTCTCAAAAACTTTTCCTATAAAGAGGTGAGATTAATTGCATTACAAATATTCATAAGTTGCTTAAAGCGTAAATCTAAACGTACTGAGCTTAAAATGCTAATGAAAGACATGAGAAAAAATTTTCAAATAAGCTCAAAAACTATATTCAAATATCGTTTAAATTGAAATTCGTCTTATCCATTAAATAATTTTCACAATGGTCGGAGAGAGAGAGAGAGAGAGAAAGACGGATGGATATTTGTTATATACAGCTATTTAAATATTTCCATGGTTGGAATTTCAAATTCTTAATTTAAAATGAACATTAAATTAAAGGAATCTAACTTTTCTAACTATGGTTATTGCATGCATAAATTTCCCAATTGATTAGTTATTTATTAAAGATAAAATTAGGCTTAGAAAAAAACGATTAATTCTATTTGAATTTGTATTAATTAAAAAGGAAAGCAATTATTAAATTTGAATTTTATTTTATAAGATGAATTTCGTAATAAGAATAATTTTAGTTAGGCGAATTAAGACAAGTTCATCCACATTGGGATGAGCTATGTGGACAGGCATTAAATAGTGGTTACCATGAACTAATCAAAAAAGCGGATAAAATATTAACGGATTGTCAACGACGTGTACATTCTGAGCCCGATCTCCATGACGTATTGTCCATTTTGACCAATGTACAAGTACACATTCTCAATCCTGTCGATATATTACGTCCAGCTATGGATGAAGGTTCTTGTCTATTGTTTTCTTTCCCTAAACTTAAATACTTAATGATTAATCAGAAATAGTTACTAATTAGTACAACAGAAGTGTAACTTATAAGTACTGCTTATTATTTTAGGTGTTTGTTGCTTTCCGTACGGTGAATTACTCGATCAAACTTTCCATATTGTGAAGAAAGCAAAAGAAGTGATGGAAGGTAAACGAGATGTAAGTTAGCTGCCATTTATAAAAATTTATTTGAAATGAACAAACTTTTAGAAGAACTGATGCAGTTCTATAACAAATTTGCAAATGGCTTTTACTGATTCGTCCTTCCCAGTAATGAATCAATATAATTTTAACTGAAAATTTCCAAACACCTTAAAAAGCATTAATTTGATCCGATTGAATTTTTGATATATGCTTCATGTATATTTCCATTTCTTATGCTTATTCATATACGTACATATGCAAGTAAAATACTCGTTTCGAAGAAGAACTTTTTTAAGATAATAATCAACTGGAAGCCAGTAGCTGAACTGGCAAGGCGTGCGCAATTACATTACAAGTTTAATTTGGCAGCATTGATGGAGGAGAAACTGGGAGAAGTGATCAGATTAAAGGCCTTGCAATCCATTCAGAGAATAGACAGTTTCATGATCGATTCAACCGTTAATAAGCTTGAAAAGTTTGTCTTTTTGGAAATGCTTGTTGGAAGGCATTTGAATTTTCTGTGCAAATGAATATTCAATGTGGAAACTTTAAAAAAAGGAACAGTCTGTGAATAGTTGTTGCAAACTTGAAAATAGAAGATTCTTCCGGTGTTCCTCTTTCTGCAATTGTTGCTGAATCCATCAGTCTTATTAATTAGTAAATTAACAGGAATTGTAAGTATATAACAATTGAGTAATTAATTTTGAGTAAGAACAAAATTCAGTTTTTTTTGAAGATCTGCTATATTTAAGGTATAAGGACAAATTCTATAATCCATAAAAGTAAAATGGAGGATTTATATTCATCTGTCAATGGGTTCGGTTACAGGTGTACAGAATCAAGGATGGAAAGAGACGTGCCTTATCAGGAATAAGAGATGAATGTTTTTAAAAAGTCTGATAGAATAGAGCACTGCATTCTCTTTCTCTCCTCAATCATTTGCTTATGAGCACGAATGACTGCTGTCCATTTTTCCTCTTTGAATGAATAAGCTCATTTATTCCAAAAATGGAATCAGTGTAAAAAAAAGAGAATTTTCCCAAGACTGATTTAAGATTTGAAATCACAAATACCACTAGTATAAGACAGGCAGATGTGTGCTGTAGTTAATTACTTAGCGTTCTGTAATTCAAGTAACCAAACAAATGTATCCTATCAATCTACACTTGATAGCATAATTATTCGATCGTTTCCGCCGATCCACAATTGTTTTGTGAAGTGATTTCCAATGCAAAATATATTGAAAATTTTTGTGAAATCAATTTATCAGATGGATAACTATTACAGGGCAACCAATATGGCACGAGATGAACTGGAATGGGAAATTGAACAATTAAGGCATCAAAATGCTCAATTGAAAAAGGATAATCGTGAATTGAAAAAAGACTGTATGAGATTAGAAGCAAGAGTGGAAATCATTGAAAATAAATTCAAAACAATGGCTCGATTGTTACATTAAGCTTGATAATTGTCGAAATATTACTTTATACTGTAATTGTGATAATTGTAACTGTTGCTGTTACTTGTTGTTACACTCGTCTCTTAAAAGTGAATCGAATTGTTTCTTATGTAATATACTTATCGAATATGTCAAAAAAGTAAATTCAAAGAAAGGAACAAAATATTTTGCTTTCAGGAACAAAAAATAAGGAATGAAAATATTTCATTTTGAGTAACAGTTATCAATTGAAATTTATACTGAATGCAAAATAACGTTGCGAAGAAATTTGCCAGCATTCATTCACCTCCCATAAAATACAAATTTTTCTTTCACTATATTAATTTTACTTTTTCCATTTTCTTTCAGTGAACATTTTGAGAAATAAATAATATTCACGCTGAACAATTATTTAAACACGCATGTTAAAAACACGATATTTAAAAAAGACGAGAAACTTTATTACTTACATTGAAGACTTGATCATTTAAAGAACTTAGGGATCAATCATTAATGCAACTTAAAATAAATTCAATAAGCCATAGTATCTCTTCATAGTTTTTCAAGAACACTGTAATTAGTAGGTGAGTGAAAAACGGCATTAAATCCACTGACTAATTTGTTCATTGATTAATAACCTAATCACATTCAATTTCTATACGATGAGATAATCGTCCTGAATTTGCGCGGAATCTATCATCATAATAGAGAAATATGGAATAAATAGATGGACAATATTATCAGAAGTAGGCTTAATTTTATTTAATTTTAATTATGCGGAATTCAAAGCATAGAATTATGCGAAAATAGACACTTATTTGGTATAAATCAAACGACTAACTAGTAAGTTTGCGAAACCAAAAATCATTCATCGAAAATTATGCAATTATTCGGTATTGTCCATCTATTTATTGATTAATTAATAACTTAGTCAGCCTTCGTTCTTTCCGCAATTTTATCCAATACTACACAAAAACAATGAATGCATCGTTTAAAATAGTCTGCACTGGAATTCCATATCACAGATAATTAGGAAAATGAAAAGTGGAAAAAGTTATATCCTTATCTTCTGATTAATAGTCAATAATAAAAATTATTGAAGGACACTAAATTTAAACGGAAAATTATAACTCCAGTGAAAAATAATAAATATAAAAGCTGTAGAATGCATCATTCTGTACACGACTTCCTTCTTTTCTTATCCTTACTCTTCTAATCTCTTGATAAAACTGAACTTTACACTGAGACAGTATTCAATAAACAAATAAACAGTAAACAAAAAAATTGAAGTGAACTTATCATTTTCCAAGACATTAACTAACCGAATTTTTCTCATTTTAGTAATCTTAATAAACAAATAAATTTGAAAAAGTTTTCATTTGTCAAACTTAATAGGTAACTTAAATGAGAAAAAAAACAGACTGATCATTGGATTATCAGGCCATTGGTGAGTGAATCGATCAGTAGATCTGACACTTAAAATTGCCAGTCTTTTCACAACTAATCTTTCGGATGAAACAAATTACCGCCCAGAGACACTCCTTGTTCATGTTGTGGATGAAGAATGTCGTTGAATGTCGCTGAATTCAAACTGCATGAGGAGTGTCGCTGACACTGCTTCCAATGATTTCGTAACTTTCGTGTTAAATTAGCCAAGTCTGACATTGGCCGTACCTGCCGTTAGATAATAAATATATTTTTTCCACTATTGTAGATTTTTATACGATAACTCAATTGTCGTTGCATATTTTTTCACAAATTTCATTTTAATGTACCTACTAAGAGACATCTCTAACTATTCCGGATAATATCTTTCATCTCTTCGAATCATGCAATACACAAAACAGACGGTATCATTTCGCTATTGACAGACAGAATTAATTAGAAAAACACTCTATCAATCCCAAAATGAGTATATTGGGGTTAGCTCATGGATTTACCATTTGACATTCACTTAAATGAATAAACAAATGACAAAATGCCTAACGAAAAAATAGATCTCAAAATAGATCTCGTTCTTTATGAAGTTGACTAATGTTTCCAATTATTGCTATTTTTATTTTTATCATTATTATTGCTACTGTTATTATTGGATAATATATTCACAGAATGTCAAGCTAAATGAGCATTAATGACTTAAAAGTGTTAGCATGAACGCATCATAAATTTCTAAGCATTTATCATAATCTCTCCCAGCGTTTGATTTGCTATAAGCTATCTGTTTATTTCACCAGATCGTTTAATGACCGAAATTCCTCATATCAACAAAATAACAACCTGAAAGAGCCATTGGAGACCATACCAAAAGGAAATCCCATTGGATTAATTCAGTTTTTCCGATTAAGCGAATTTGTCAAACTGAAATCATTATCTCTTCAGTTTAACCAAAAAAAGTCCTTTTGTATATTCCTTAATTATATCACAACAAGCATTTACAATGCGTTTATGGATATATAAATAATATAGACGGTCAAAGGCAAGAATAATATTGAAAATATGGCATAACACACACTTTGAAAAATTAGTTTGTTTCTCTTGATATCTAATCTTTATAAAATTAATAACATCCCATCGCAAAGAAAGAAATGTAGTGAATGATACTCACAAAAGTTTATAATCAAACTTTATATTTCTAACATACATTTCAAAAAAGGAATAATCGTAAAAATTATAGTTTGTTTTCCTACTAGCATCAAAACTTCAGGTTGAGCAAGCAGTCACTGAGTGACTATCCAGTTTATAAAAAATTTTTAGAATCCAAGGATAAGATATAAATATAATCTGACTAGAAAAAGAGTACAGAAGTCAAAAATTTGAACCAAATAGCAAATTAAAAACAATGGAGAAGAATTAAGAATTGCTTCTACAGAAAAAGAAAAAAGACTAACAAAAAAAAGACGTCTCGTAAACGACCTCTTCAGTTACTCTAAATCTGCTTAAAAATCTTAAAAACGAATTAATCCTTATGATGATCGTTTTCCTCCTCTGTATCTTCCGGATGGGTAGATTTATTCTTATATAAATTGGTAACAAACTGTGTGCCTGCTTTACGAGCTGCACGACCGGCGATGGATCGTGGGCCAAGATCCCAGAGCTGTAAAGCAGCCAAAGAAGTATGGCCGGTTGCGTATAATGCTTCATGTGCTGTTGTTGAAGCTTGATTACCCCATCTGAAAATTCAAATCTGAATAAATTTGAAATAAATTGAGAAATTATTATTTTCACTAAGTAATAGATAACATTTATAAATCTGTTCCAAGAAGTCCACTTAATATAAAATTCCAAAATTGACATTTTTCAGTAGAAAGAAAATTTGATTTGTTGATTTGAATATAAGCTTACTTATGTCTCACAATATCGACCGTTTCATCAGCAATATTTTTAGCCATTGTTTTAGAGGCATTTTCTAGAGCAATCCAAACAGTGCTTGCACTGGTGATGCCACTTCCCAATACATAAACTGTGTCATGAACAACACCACTCTCTTTATCACCGAGATGTTTCTCTGCACCAGATGCTAAAGTCTTCCCAATTGATATACCCATATCCCCAATTTTATCCACTAAAACAAATATGAGTTAAACGTCGTATTATATTTTTAAAAAATTAGGAAGCGAAACTGGCGTGAGAGTGTAAATGTTTAATTAAAAGGGAAAACTTCTGAAGCGAATAAAAATAAATACATCAGAATTATGCAATAAGCAACTCTTCAATAATAATCCAACTGAAGTAAATGTAATTTCAATCATCTGGAGAAAGCTAGCTAATTAGTCTCTTTCCTTGCCTTTCTAACGTGAAACTGATTACAAATTATACAAAAATCACAAACTCTGATAAATTGATTATTCTGACATTTTTTCAAAATTTTCAAAATGCTAATGAAAGCTTATCACCTGCGAAAACTTCACTTCAAACAGAGAAATTCCAATTTCTCTTTTTTTAGAAATATGTTAATTATTTAGCTATTAACTCTCCATGATTTTAAAAACTAAAAGAAATAAAAAATTTACATAGATATCTTGTGCACTTCGCGACCATTTTGCTGCCCTTGTGGACGTAATGTATACCGAATCTGATGCCGGGGTTTATTTGCATCGGTTCTTGGCCTGGTGCAAGTGAAGAGCGAATTTGTGCCGACTTGTCAGACACGATTTTAGATGTTTTCTGGACAACATGATTTATATTTGTCGCCAAATAATCACCACCTGCATGAAATTTTGTTAAAACAGATTTTTGCAACCGATCGATCCTCAAAACTTTAAGCATCTTATTTAAACTGTACGTCCAAAAATTTCCTAGAAGAAAACGATTCAATAAATGAGGGAAAAATGACCTGTTATCAAAAAATCGCTAATTTTTTGACTAAGGTGTTCCCTTTCTTCTTTACTCATTTGGCGAGACAGTTCTTGATTTCGTATCTCGGTATGATTTTTCAAAATTGAGTAGAAATCCTCTTCATCCTTACTGTCCAGATTTTCAGGCAAAAGGATCCCAACAAACATATCTATAATATATTAAATGCACAATATTAGCAGTATAATTAAATGAAATTTATACATTCCAAAAAATATATATATATATCAAAATTTAAAAGAAATTCAGAAACACAAATCTAGGGATTACCTGGATGTTCTGGAGTTGGATTTGGCACAATGTAAGCGCCGAAATCATTTTTGAGAACCGGTGTTTTTCCACGAACCAGTGGATATGACCATGGACCAACCTGAAACCATGCAAAAAGTAATTATACTTGCTTAAGGAATGAATGCAATGAGTGATTGGATAATTTCTATATCCTTCCAACGGATGCTTGCTTTTCTTTTTTTCAAGCAAAATCTATCTGCCATTTCAAGTTAACTCATGAAATCAAAAATTGGAATACAGAGTACCTACCTTGTCAGCTTAATTGGCTTGCATATTTCATACTTCGCATCAGCATAAAAAAATGAAAATAGAAAAGCATTGAACTAATCAATTTTTCAGCGTAGAAGTTTAAAATCGAACAAAAACAGGAACATTGTAATTTAATTAGGAGGATAATAAATATCCTTTCCATTTATAGTCTATCACAACTGATGGTAGGGTATACCTGTATAAATGCTTCCACCTGGTTAGTTTCCGGTTTTTTTTGATTTGAAGAAAACCGAAAGATTTCTAGAGAAGAAGGAACAGTTGGAGTTGAAGTGTTTTCATTCTGAAAATGTAAGGACTTGGAATTTTTGGGTTTTTGGAAAACCTTGAACAATTTACTTAAAATACATGCTATATTCAATACAAATTTCTGAAAACAATAATCATCTTCCAACAAACTTGTAAAAGATAAAAATTTTAACTCACCTCAATGATAAAAAGTTGCACACCATCTGGTATGTAGTATACCAAATCTGCCTCTACTGTATGCATTGATTCGATCTGCTTCTTTAACTCCTTTTTGTTCTAAAACTTAAATTTTATTGGGTCCCGCTTATCTTGCTTAAAAATCATTATCTTTATAAAGAGTTGTCAAAAAAATTCGCAGTACAGTTCCAAAATCGAAAATAATCATTCAAACAATGACCTCTTCATTCTCCATTTTCATCTTTTTAATATTCGACTTTTCATCGACATGTTTCTGTATTTTCTTATTCGCCTTCAAATCCTTTATCCTTGCTTCCACGCGATTCTTACCTTCCATTACCACTTTATACATGTCACTTTTCTTGTAATTCTTTTCCTTTGCCGCTTCTTTTATGAGCAACAAACTTCGTTCATAAAATGCCAATGCATTTTCCTGCAATTCATCTCTTTTAAAAAATGAACAATTTTTTGACACAATGCATTGATTGCTTCTTGACCAAGAAATACCAATAGACACAAAACTAACCGTATCATCGATTTCATCGTAGCAAAGGCCTTGTTCCATGCAAGCACATGCTTCACAATACAATTCATTGATATCACGATTTGTCGGCATCTTGCATTTATGCTTACACACAATTTCGGTACACTGCTAACAATTCAAATTGCGTAGTGCTGTAAAATACGTTTACGTAGTCTTATCACGTATATTTAGTTCATCATCTTTCAATATTATACACTCCACCACTTAGATGGAAAAATGTTTGTCACGTCAAAACATGAGATATCAAATTTTAGAGGGTATCACGTATATGATTACTTCTAACACTGAACTACTTTTAATAAATACACTCCAAAATTATAGCAGCTTATAGCTCATCTGAATGATCTGAATAACTTATCTTAACATGCTAAGTGATCTTTCGATATACCACTAGAAGAGATTCTCGAGCTTGAGAAAAATAAGTGAAGCAAAGATCACTTAAAATGGTATGTTAAGATAAGTTTTTATAGAGATCTATTGAAAGTAAATATTTCACTCTTAACAGGGTAAGAAATTTCCACAGAGCAAAATGAGGGAACAGCAAGGAACTTCGTACGACAATAGAAATCAATAGATCGATAAAAATCTAGAATTGTACACGGGTGAGTAGGAAGTGGAAAATAGAGATTGTGCAACATACAGCAATAAACATCATTAAGACCATCGACCAAGCAATTTACGCTATTGGACAGGTTTAGAAAATCATTGGGCTTTGGGCAGGCCTGACAACTGATTTAATACTTTTGACAACTGATTTGACACTTTCAGCACACTTTCAACAAACTGAATGATAAATACGACCGATTCATGGTTCCCGTAATGACTGCATCTACCCGAATGAGTCATCATCGTCTTTTTCATCTTATTTCTGAGAATTTTCTGCCTCACGTCTATGCCAATCTATTCAAAGAAAATAGCAAACATAAAACTAAACAAAATGAAGTAAGCCTGTTGTCCTTGACTTACTCAAAACTCTAAGCATTCCCACATCAACTCATCACATCATCTATGTGTTTAATCATCGAAATATGCTTTAATCCCGTTTGTTAGTTACCTTTGTCAATTTTCGATAACTTTATAACAACTGCTTCCAAGAAATCTCACATTTCATTGTAAATGCGTAAAATGAACAGTAAATATAGCTTCAATTCTTTTTTCACCAAGTTTAAAACGAACTTCACAAAAGATACCTTTTATATAATACTGGCTGAAAAGGTACAAGAGAAATGAATTATGCGTTCTATATTGGAAATCTTATTTGCGGAATGAAATATATCTCCAGCTAATTGCAGAATAATATTTTGACTTCTGTTCATTTCATCACGTTCTCTAGAAGAGAACATTGGAATAATAGGGTGGAAAAAATGATAGTAAGAAAAAATCCAACGATTGATGATAATATAATTTGTAATTGCTTTAGATTTTATTCGCATCCTCGATATCAACCAAATTCAATAATTTGATTGCTTCTTTCTACTATTAAAAAACAACTCGAAAGGATAAAAATCTCAAAATCATTTGTCATACACAAAAACGAAAACACGCAATATCAGTTATAGAAAAGTTTCAACAACTTGTGACCACTTTTCTTTGATGAGGGCATTTTGACTATGTCAACACCTTTCGGACTCTTCGAACGAAGACCAAATGTATTGCAACGACCGGAACCCTTCATTGAGAATGCATTTTTATTCACTGAAAGTGAATTTTTTAAAAGAATGATTCGCAAAGAAAGAAACTGAAATTCCATTCGTAACTTTCATTGCTGTTAACTGCGTCACATTTTCAACCACCATTTTATAGCCTCATGAAATTTCGCAAGAAAAATTATCACGTAGCATTGCATTTTATATCATTATGAAAGTACTTGATAGAAAAGAATAAAATCATCAAAAATCATATAGATGACAAAAAGTCGCACAGATGAAATTTTCCGAAAAAATGCGCCAATAAAACAGAACGAATAATAGATCCGCAGGACTACTGCACATCCTTTCAATTAGTGGTTCAAGGAAAACCATTCGTACAAAAGTCTATTGAAGGATACACCAAGACTCTAGACTTTAATATAACTTGCTCATTAAGCTGTTTTTTTGCTTTGCGATGTTTGTTACTACTATGTAACAAGAGGTTTGTTTACTGTTCCGGAGAATATTTCTGCACACTTTCGATTTAACTAAACCATTACTATTCATACTTCTCCCTCTTTCGAAATGCATGTTTAGAATCATAGATGTATGCATAAAATGATAGTGAAATATTATGAAGAAACCTACCCGAAGAAGCAATTTCAGAATCGGAAGAACAAAGCCGTGGAGATGGACTACGCCTTTTAGATCGATCAGTTAAGAGCACAGTAATTGGACGTCTGAAAAGTGCAGCAACTCGTTCCCATTCATCTACAGCTGACACTTCACCAAACATTACACCAAATCGTTTTGCTAACTTCTCACCATCTGATTCACTCACTTGACTAAAAGTGAAAGTTAGTCTTCAATATGGGAGTATTCTGTGTAACTGTTAAAATTAACCAAGTTTTTTCACACCATTACATTACTAGTTTGCTTCTTTGGATTTTCTTCTTTATGGAAGAATAAAATTCTCATCAATCCACTTTGATTTCCCTAGCAAATTTGAAAAAAAAAATTAGATTTCCTCAAAAAACTACAAAAAAATTCACAGCAGATTAGTTAGTAACCGATAAGGAGTAATGCTGTGAAGGAAATTCATAGCTTAGGAAAATTTTTAACACTGAACTTTTAGTCTAGAGATTTTGAGTTCAAGAAACTCAAAAAGTAAAAATTTAGATTTTTATGTCACTTGTTTCTAAACATATTTTGAAAGATAATAAAACATAATAAATGCTAGTCAAACATCTCGTATCTTCCACCATTTTTACCATTTTCTAGCAAGATCTTCATATCATAAAGTTCTTTTAGTCGACTTCGATTTTGCAGAACATTTTTGAAGCATTTACCGGTAACGTTCAAGATCAGTCTTATTCCCCACAAGCAAGCATTTGTGTTGCCGCGAGCAAAGACGATGTTCATGGGTTGAAATCTGTTGCATTGTCGATTCCGCGTACTGCAGAGATAGTTGTGATGTTATATCATATACCTCAAAGTGATAAATTGAACTCTTTTTTAAAATATTTGAAATAAGAATTTTTCACTCCAACCATGCAAAGTACATTTACTCTCTTATTATAACAAGGAAAATTTCATAAAGAATTAAAATGTTTTATGAAGCCGATGTAAAACCGGCAGTATTTTCTTTTTTGAAATAATTATCCATTAATCAATCTTTCAAAATAAGGGAATCCCGAAAAAAAACAAGATTACCCATTTCCTTAGTCGAATTTGTTCAGCTCAGGAATAAAGTAGAGATTTTTACTTCCATAAAAAGAAAAAAATTTTTTCTTAATATCAGAAATTGATGAAAGAAGATTGCTATTTCATCAGCAACATAAAATTAATCTATACAAACTCATACAGTATCTTATTTCGAAACAACTAACAATAATGTAAACGTCAGCCCAAGAAAGATAACGCATCGCATCTCGTCCTGAACCATCTACTGTATCCATCAACCACACAACCATCGGTTGTGAGAGTAAGACATCTTGACAACAATAAGTATCTTCTAAGAATAACGATTTAAATAATTTGTAATTTGAAAGTGTATGGGAATAACTCTTCGGATTATTTGCAAAAAGTGAATCCTTTTAATACTTACAGCAAAATCAAGGTCTCCCGTCGTTGACAACTATATCTCCAGATATATGAGATATTAAATACATGAAACGCATGAGTAAAAAGGCAAAAGCAAACCAAGGTTTGGATCATATTCGCCAATGAATCGATGCGCTATGTATTTCACTGCCAAAGCTGTGGAGTAAATAATGATAATAATGAAAAGAAATATTTGCAAATTAAGCAAAGTGCAGTACTGGCATCTACAAGATAAAGGAAGAATGAGAATTTAAAAATTTAAAAAGTAAGCTTGATTTTATTGATAAGGAGTATTGATTATTGGGGGAATGGATACACGAATTCATGAAAAAGCTCATTTTTTAATCGCTGACAAATATTGCCATCTTGAAAGAATGGAATACTTTCACATGATGTCAAACATCAGTAAAATAAATCAGTAATTTATCCACGAAGAAAATGAGGAACTTAATCTTATCACTGTTATTTGCTTACTCTTCCTTTAAATAATCAAAATTCTGTAGAAATCTGAGACCATAATCACAACGGTGTTCACAGCATTTAATCCCAGCACAAATAGAACGACAATTCTTACCTGATTTCCCGCAACCCATCATTCCAATCAAAGCGACATTCATTTCAATAACTGATGAACACATCATTCTTCGCTTGATTGAGAAGTTCTAAGCCTGCTGCTCAAGTTTCTCTGCGAGAGAAGTAATGGAACTCATTAAAAACCCGAAGCATTTTACAATCCTTGCATCCTAAACGTTAGTATCACAAAGATAGAACGGCAGCTGACCCTCTTTATTCTCTAACATAGGGAAATAGGGAATGTATTGCTGTAATAATCTCAATATTAGTCTCTCAAACATCAATAACATTCTATTCTCTTTCCATAAAAATCTATTCCATGGTTAAACTATCCTTAACCCAAATTTATGACTTCTCAAGTACGGACGACTACAAACTCATTTCTAATAAAAATTAAATCAATAAATCAAATGGCTTATTAAACAACTTATATTTGTTCAAAATCAGGGAAACAGACACAATTTAGTGATTTACTGACATATTTCAATAATCAGGGCACATTGTCAGAGATCGAAGAAATGAATTGAATTGAACACACTATAACAATTTAAAGAAGAATATAATACATATATATACATAATTATCAACACAAGCAAAAACTTTGAACATCTTCAAAAGGCAATAAACGGTGTTTAACTTTTTTAACGATAGGTTTCTCACATCGGGTCATCTGGTGTAATAAATGATGGTAAATGGAAAGTGGCAGTGCCAAATCCACGAGTGCGATCGACTGAAATAGCGAACGGATCTGTAGGATGGAATAAAAGCTGAACAAAGCGACCTTGATTGAGATTCATTTCGAATAATGGTAAACATGTTAGCCGAGAGAAAAACCTGAATTTAAGATTCTTTAGAGTTTCGGAGTTAAAAAAGTATTTCTGCAGTAATTTTTATAGTTCTTAAAATTGCATTTCTAACCCCGTTTCGAGAGAACCTAACTTCCGAAATTAAAAAACCATTTTTGAGAAGTTTGCGAAAAAGTTTGAAAAATTCCCTGCATCCTAGTAACAGAAAAAATTTTGAGAAAATCTAACACGTATTTTAAAATGACAGTCTATTGATTTTGCTGCAAACTTGCTTAAAAACCGTGTTTTAGGAAAACGAGTAAGAAGAATTGTTCTATTACCAATGCTTACAAAAGAAACATTGGAGAAAAAAGAAACTAATTTTAATCTGTTATAACAGAAAATTATTCGAATTTACCGTAACATTTTTTAGTTCCATTAAATAATATGTTAATTGAATTTTCAACAGATCTCAAGTCATTCAACAAATGTCAAAAAGGCTGGAATTATAAGAAATGATAAATCCTAACCGAATCACATCATTATCAGCAAGTTTAGTCCGTTCAATAAGTGTAATCAGTCGATCGTCAAAACGAAACATTGATGGATCCAAATATGGAGTTTCTACAGGAACATAACTAAATGAATAAGGCAACTGACATATAATACGTCTTCGTGTTTCTCTATCAGACCCTGTAACTTTTACTTAATATTTCTAATTGTTAGACATCAATTACAGAGTCCATTATCTATTACAAATATATTTCTGATTAATTATTTAAGTTTCCTCGCACATTTGTGAACCAACTATGTATCAACTAACACGTGGACATGAATGAAGCTTTCAAACTTCCTTCATATAAAAAAAATCTATAAGAAAATATCCATCCTGTGTGTTGGCATAGCGAATTTTGGACAATTCTCTCATGATTGTTGAAAAGATTGTTCGTTACAGTATTACAAAAAGATATTTCTTAGCATCAGCAATATTACACATCTAGTACACTCTACACAGACTCTTGAAAAAGGCTTCCAAAGAGTTGTTTATCAATTATCTAATCAATCCTCAGCTAAGTTGTCGGTGATGCATTTTATGAATTTTCTCAAATGTCCTATCGATATATATATATACATTTTTTTTAAATACTGTAATCATCCATCTTTAGAGCTCTTTATATTAACAAGTATAATAAATTAAATTCTAAGAAGCAAATTCGATTGGTAAATTACAATAAATCTATTATGATTAACCTCCTCGAGCATCAGTAAGTGCATCTTTCATACGTTGGTAAGCCACCAGCGCTTGTTGGCAGTGTTGAATGGTGCAAGGAAAACGATTCGATGAAATATGAGCATATTTCAGTTCTTCCTGACATTTTTCTATCAGCTTCAAAAAATTAGCTGAATAACGATCGAATGCACCCAGGACATCACCTCTTTGCCAGTCCATTAAGACGAGCAATAACGGGTAGCTGCCAATTCCTGGAGTCGCAGCAAACGCCTCTACATGAAATGTCATAAGAACGTATGGCCAACAAGCAAATCTGTTTTCGTAAATATATCATAATTAAGACCAAAAAATTAGGGTCAAGAAACTAGTACCTTCATTCACAAAACGGATTAATATAACGCTTGGAGTGACCAATTGCATTTGCCACATTCTTAGTGATCGAAACTGTGTAAAAGTATGCAAAAAATTGTCAATTTGAGTCGAATCTGTACATCGATGATAAAGGTATGTCAAAATTCGCTGCTTTATTCCTATAAAATCCTAAATTTCACATTAAAGTTCTCAATAACAGAAAGTGTTATTAGATTATCAACTGTATTTTATGAACATTTATTCTTTCTTGAAAACCCATTTAACCATCTTAGAATAGATAACAGATAGAAAACGAAAGATCAGCGCAAGGTACCAGCTTGCCGTAAAGGTAATATCTTGTTTTAGTCAGTTAGGGTTAGATCAAATCGTCCACAACGCAGCTGCTGAATAGAATCAAACGGAATTGTGAAACTACTGACAGATCATAATTTTTATTAATAGACCTGTCTGTAAACACCAGCGTTAACTCCACCTCACTAGCAGAGTACGCACTGGATGTTACTGGGATTCCTATATTATCAAGGGAGAATAAAATGTAAATGCACAGTAACTATTATCTTATAACTCAGTTTTTCAGCAAAAATTATTAGATAATAAGAACTTAATAATAAGGACTTGATAAAATACCCAACAAAAATCTTTTTTTAATAGGAAACAATAAACACCTGATTATTTCAAGATTCAAAACTTTGACAGTTAAACAACGACATAAAAACCAACCGCTAAGAACAACATCCGTGGTTGGACTATCCGGACTTTTCTCAGCTGCCATTACAAGGTCCTCATCATCAGCGAATAAATAGCTGAAAATCACATGAATTAAATTCGAAAATTTAGATAAAGCTATTCGCCAGCAGAGAAGAATCTCAAAATAAATTTCTTGAATCTTTCCCACATTTATTTCCCAATTCTTATCACATGAAGCTAAAGAATGTTTTGAAATGAACAAATCACGTAAAAAAGAAGACTCTGTTCTCCAATATAGTTAGCTTATCGCAAGCTCTCAGTTTTACATAACATAGTAATTAAGAATACTTTTCTGTGTTAGACCTGAAGCTTTGGAGAGTAAAACTCAACAATCTCTTAACAATTTAACAATCTCAGCGATTCTTTGTGTTGCATTTTTAATCCACCAAATTTTTTATAATTTATTTGGATGCAAGCGTTTTTCAAAAATGTACTCAATTCAGGATCAAAGGAACAAAACTGACCGTCCTACATGGCCAAGTAGAGTGAAATAACCCGTGTCTTCGCTAATGTGTAAGAAATGAATCGTTTGATGTTGAAATGATAAAATAGCGAGGAGGTATCCCATTAGAGTTACGCCACGTGATATCCAAAGACGATCTGCATCCAGGTAATATTTGTCACAGATATCACCTGTCTAAAAAGTAACTTCATTTTAAAAAAATTAACAATTCTACTTTATTTTGTCGTTAACTTGCCTGTTTTCCAATACAGCTAAGAACTGATATAATTTATATATCCTTGTTACCAAGCGATGGGAATGTTATTTCTGTAAAATCCATTTAAAATTTCTTATTTCCATGTACCGTACACTAAAGAAAGGACAAACGTATGTGAAGTTTCTAGAAAACCTAACATTCATGTCGATACAATAAATAATATAATTTATTAGTGCCTGCACTGACACCGGAGGAAGTGACTCGTTATTTTGATAAACATCATCCCACCTTAGCGCATTTTCCGATGTAGGATATTCCGCAGCAACTGCAAATAAAGTGAAATGCCGTTATTATTTTAGCATCGAAATAGTTTCTGTTTGAGTTTGCTCTTCAGATTTACTAAATTTTGAAAAATTACAAAACGGCGAATGCAATTCACTAAGATATTTCCTATGTACACACACACATCTAGATAAAAGATTTTATAACTTATCTAGATCGCTCTCGTTATCGACAGTAAAACGATATTCTTAAACTTATCTCTTTAGCAAGAGATCATAAGGATTAACACTTTTTGTCCCTTAAAATTTGAAAAAACAATCTAATTTTTGTCAAATGCAAAACCCAGTAGATAACGGCAATCCTCTGTAAAAAAAACGAATTCTTTGTTCAAAACAGCTCCTTCTTCTTCATCAGCTATCAGATTCACTACAAAGCGCTCCGGAAAAACGTCCTGAAGAAGTGAAATATTTGTTTGATAAAAAATCAAGAAGACAAATGCAATAAATTTTTCTACGCAATATTAAAACAAGTTAAAGATCAAAAAAACCATATCAAAAAGGCATAAGTTAAGAACATTCCAGGAAAGATTACGTCAAACTATGCAGATCTGACTTATTAAAAGTTTCAGATGTATTTTTACCAGAATGCAAGAAACAAAAAATGAAGACTTTTATATGCAAGATATAGAAAACGAAGACTTACGCATATTTTCCTTGCAAAACAATGTGAGAGAAATTTCTTAGAAAATAATTAATAATTTACTGAAATGCAAAATCCACCTCAAACATGGTTTCCAGCTGCTTGTTATAAGCATCTGTAAAACCACGATAATCATGAACATATAAATCATGGCAGTTTGAGGAAAAGCAAACGAGACTGCGTCCATCCGGTGAAAATCTGTAAAGAATATCTTCAAACTTGAAAAATCCAACATCCTCAATTTATTTTTCTAGAACCATGCAACGCACATGTGAAGCAAGAACTGAGAATTGATCTGAGAGTCCTCTTCTTCTTTTTTACTAAAATAATTCTGGTGTTTTCAACATTTTTCCAATTAAAATAGCAAGCAATTAACTTGCAATTACAATTCATACAGTAATAATCGAAAAACATCTTTGGTCTTATCATTTCAATTCAAAACAATTAAATAAGGAACAACCTTCTAATGATTAAATTTTTCTTATCAACTCCCGATACACTACAACTTGGATGAAAGCACTGATAAAACTGTCGGGCACCATAAAAAAAATGCGTTCCTGAAGAAAAAATCAAATTTACATAACTGCATGAACTGTTTCAAGTATGACTGTTCTGTAATTTGCCCTAACACACTACAGTACTTCAAATACTAATTAGCACAGTTAAGTTGAATATGATAAATCTACATTTACTGTGAAATTTATTTACAGAACCTGGTTTCCGGTTACCAAGTTCACGACTTTGAACCATTCGAGCCATATGAACAATCGGAATTCGTCTACGTCTGCACCATTCCAAACCATACATCTCCGCAGTCGCCATTTCTGCAAAAAAGAATTTCGTGCCACAATCCTCAAGAATAACTGCACAAAAATTTTTCATAGATCTCTCAACGAGATTTTGAATATATGATAACTGCCATATTGCTCATTATCCATCTCTAATAAACTAAAAAACAGAGAAATATAGTCATGTACACCTGGCAAAACCATTCTCATAAATAGTAGGATAACTTTCGATACTTTCCACTAACCACTGAAAAATTATCAATATTTCAACAATACTGGACAAAGAGGCAGGTTTAAATAAACCAATATTTGATGTGACATGAAATCATACTCATATATCTTTTATTCATTATGATATAGAACCATGCAATCTCAAAATACTCGAAAATAAGAACACCGAAAGAAGGAAATGATACGTGATTTAAAATTAAAAGTAATTCAGGATTGCAAATGGTATTCAGCGAATAGGTGAAGTATCTATAAGATTGAGTAAGGAAAATGAAATATATTACAAGATCTGGAAAAAACTTTGTTGAAAATGTGCACAGAAAATAAATAATTCCATTCCAGAAAAATCCAAAAATCAAATTTTGAAAGAAATACAAGAAAAACATAAATTGAACGCATTAAGGAATAAAAAACCTAATATAGTTAAAATTAATCATACTACAGAAAATACAGTTAGACTAATTACATTACATTGCACAGTTCAGAATTCTTTCGAACAGAATTCTATTAATCAGAATTCTATTAATAATCCTCATGGAAAAGAGTTGAAGTATTTTAATGGATTGCATCTGGAGGATTGTGCGAAAAATAATCCGGATAACATTCACCAAGTTTTGGACCTTCTGGAAGTGGTCCGTGCTTTTTGACATCCCAGTGCAGTTTGTATTGCAATCTGATCCATTCAGCACGCTTTTTCTCAAAATAAAAGAAAAATCAATAGCATTATTTTTGCAAACTTAATTTAAATTGAAGCAATTCAGCTTAACTTTTCAAAGCGGTCCTAATGCTAGAAATATTTATAGTAAATTCAAAACTACAGAACAAACAATTTTTTTCAAAAATTCCAGACCTCAAGTTGCAACGTCTACAAGACAACCAGAAAAAGGAAAAAAAAACTTGTTTGTAATTTGTAATGCATTCATTGAAATCTCGACGCTCCAAATCGCAGTACTTCCGGCCAAGTTTTTGTCCGAAAGCTTCCAAACAATGATAATATTGCGACTCAAAAAATCCACAGTGTGTATCTATAAAACAAACCAATTTTCGAGGATAAAGATTAATTTAAAACAAATAGATTTTTAATTCTCATTAAAACGACATTTCCTGCAAGTCACATATCGATAATCAAACTGTGTCGCATTTTAGATCTAAATAAATACCCTGTTTCGATGAAATTCTTCGAAGTGCATCTACAAGTGGTAGCCTTATTAACGGCTCCAGCATATGTTCCTCTGCCTCTTGAAAATGCGGATTTTCCCGAAAACTCATCTTGATTTATTTTTTGGTTCAAAAGAACCTGAAAATCACATATTAATTCGTCAATTTGCACACAATAACCCATGAATAAAACTTTGTAATTGGAACTACTAAAATTACAAGTGCAATAATCACGAAAAGAAAAAAGTCAATATTCCAAGGTAGCCTGTAATTTCTCTCTTCCTTGGAATATTATGGAATATTACGTGATGTTCTACAATACGTCAAGAAGAGGTTAACAAATAAAATATGCAAACCGAGTGAAAAGTCTAAGAACAAAACCAATTCCAGATCGAATTCTTAGTCACCGCCTCAATGGAAATTCTTACAAGAAAACACCAAATGTAACCGTAATAATGCGCTTCTTAATCAAGTCTCCAAATGCAATTTTAATCCCAAAGTGCGATTATTGGGAAAATCTAAATAATTTTATAAAACAATTTTTGTATCTGAATAGTCAAAGTATTTGCATTCTAGAAAATTCTTCTAATCCTATCGTATATCCAACTCATACCGAAAGATTATTCATCAATGAATTTCAAATATTAAGTTAATTCTTTATTCATTCAACTTGCTCTGTGTCTAAAGGATTTAATAGGGTGCTTTGTTCACCGGTAGTTGCAAATATTAAGCACCCTTTGATCACATTTGTTTCCAGAGAAGCCTTAAATAGTGTGCCTCAATTTAATACGGTGTATGATCATTATGCCAGAAAGGGTATTGTTTGTACGTTACTATAGGCGGTCTTTAGTACTATCAGGAATACTATCAAACAGTGATCGACGCTGCCCTAATATTCTGTGATAATGTCTTAATAACGTCAGGAAGAATAAAACTCATCTTCCACAAAAATAACGTTTGCCAGCGAAACAACAAAATACTTTCATGACAACAATTTTATACAATTGGCTTCAATTCCCTATGTAGAAGAGAAAGAATCCGTGCAGATCCCAATTCCAATATTTTTCAGAACAGCGCCGCCTTCCAATTTTTCCCATTACACTATATTATTTTTCACTTTTTTCCATGGATCGATCTGATAATGAATGTATCAATTCTTGGTCTTTCTTATAAATACAGCAAACATCAGAGGAAATCCATTATTGAAATAAGAATAACGACTAAATCAATCGATTGATTACACAACACTGTTAATTATTAATTCTATATTATAGCGTTTTCCGCCTCTGCACTGAAAGATTGACGATGAATGAACAAGGCGGCCGTTCGATTTTTGATGAATTGAACGAAGACTTATTGTCCAATTTATCTTCAACTTCTATTTCTACTCGTTTTGTTGACTGTTTCTTCAAAGGTTCAGCCGCATGAATGAGAATTCTGAAGTGATGAAAGTTTGAATTTAATTTTTCCTACCTTAATACACAATACCTTAATACATCGTTTCTCAAATATCATTTACAATGTATTCATAATTCATGAAGATATCAATTATTATTGACAAATGAAATTCATCACAACAAAAATTCAAGCGGAATAAGAACCCAATAAGAACAAAAAGAGAAAATCCTTTTCCTTTCTTTTTTTCAACTTCCCTGTTTTTAATGCGCACTCCAGCTGCTTCATCAAATTTCTGGAATGTTAGTATGATTTTGGATGTCGCGCAATAGCGACATTTGAAATAGTGATAAAATGATTAGTTTTCTTTTTAAGATGTAGCAAATGTCTCTTTTGTCTGAATGAATATATAATACATTATAATCACAATCAATCTAAACTGTAATTTGTAAACTATGGAGAAAAAAGAAATTCATGCTTTGATGTTTATTGTCTATGAGATACATCTACAGGTTAATCATTTTCAAGCAACTAACAAAATGTTAATTCATGTTAATGTTAGAGGAGAGTGCATGAATACTGATATATAAGAAGCTTTTAATGTTATTAGTCAAACACTAGTTGGAAAACATACATTACCACAAAAGTAAATATATTTATGGAAAGTAAACTGATAGTGATTGGAAGATAAATGAAGAAATTTGAAAATGAAGAAATAAATGAAGAAATTGAGATAAATAAAGAAATTTTACTGCGATCAGGCATCTGGGAAAAAACATAAGAGAACCTTAATGATAAGATATATTAAAGCTATAAAGCCGACACCAACAACGCCTGAAACAATTAGAAGATCGACAATATCATTCATAAGCAACTTCAAACAATCAAGATCTACAATGTCAATCAGTTGCGAATAACAACAAATTCCAGAAAGTAGTAAACTTTGAAACAACTGCAAAAGCATTGATTGCATCAACAAATCAAATTCATGGACTGTTTTGTGTGGATTGCAGAAAGAGCGTTTAGTGGAGCTACCAGATAGTTCTACCAAAGCGATCATTTTCAGTGTATGGCATTAGTTGGAAAGCAATTGCAACATTCAACAGGAATTGAGAACGACGAAGAATTAACAAATAGATTTCGCGTTATGGTTTCTAGAGTCAATCGATCTTAACTAGTTAATCGTATCGTTTCTATGATAATACTAACTAAATTGTCAATAATAGATTTATAATGAAGGTGTAAAGATTAATTCAAGACATAAAGAAATCTCTTTTAATTGGTATAGTTGATATGAAGCATCAATGAAACGTGCAAATTGATACGAAGCAATTGATAAATTAATCCCTATCAATTGAAATGTATTTCAAAGTACTGCGCAATCAAATTCAATGAAAACATTCCAATGCACAAATAAAAAAACATTGAAAACATTCTCGTATCGGTATCTACACGTTGCACTTATTAACTATTGCTTAATGAATGGTGAAATTTATGATGTAAAATTTTATCCCCCAACTGACCATTGTATATAATATATTTATTAAAGTATTGAGAAAAGTTTTCAAATAATTCAATGAAACTTTGGATATCTTTCTTCACCAGAGCTAAAATGGAAATTAAGTTTGTAATGTATTTATTTTCAATGATTTCGAAGATCATATTCAAATCTATCAAAGCATATTATTTTAATATAAAAAAGTAATTTTAATTGAGAATATTTTTCATTTGGTGAATAACGGAGATCCATGCTAACAGAAATTCCATTAATTTATACCTGCCAAATCATTGAACAAGCAATAAGCGAACAATAAATCTCTACATAAGGTATTCGCCTTACAAAGAGTTTTATTGTTCGCTGAGAAAGAAAGCACCTTATTAGATTAATAAAGTGTTGTTTAGGAAATAGAAATGAACTTCAATTGAAAACCAGCTACAGCTATTATTATCACGAATGATTAGGACTGACATATAAACGGTCCGCATCAGAAGGAATCACATCATCGATTTTGACACTCCATAAGACTTACTAAAGCCGTTTAAGATGATAAATTACAACAGCTTGATCTGGAGCAAAAATTCTAAAACTGAATCGTCCAATGACTTTTGAATATGTATCCTTCCTTTCGCAAAAAATAACTGCCAATTCCAGAATATTAGTAACCACCACTGGCCAATCACGCCATATACCGTAACCGTTACCAATTTCAGTTCCATTGTCCTTTTGTGCAAAAATGCTTGATAATAACTGTAGCATATTATGCATGTTAAATTTTGTGGAAAAGCATACCGACCTCCCAAAATCTACCACATTAGAATTTCACTACTCCATATTTACAGTTCGACTCTAGCACTTTATTGCACTACCCAATATTGTCTTTAGAATAATATTATAATTGCCAATCTGCTATCATATAATTGCTCCCCCAACAAAAACTGGCATTTTAGAAAATTCTCCTTTAAGTCATTTACATATATATAAAATGGCCATGTATAAAGCAGTTTGTTTTACTTTGACAAAGCACACTATTTTGGAGCAAAAAAGTTGAAATTATCAAAAGCTTTCAATTTTCCAAACATTGAAGAAATCAAAGGTTTAGAAGTTTTGATCACCTTTCACCGAACATGTCGATAATTAATCACATAACAAAACTGCTGAAAGCGTAAACAAACCATATACTTTAATAAACAAAATTAAAATCCGAATCAATAACTATAATCCTGCTTTTCGATTAAATGTTTTCGCATTTCCCATAACCTATTTCGGCTATCTTGATCACTCAGTAACCAAATAAAAGCTGCGACTGCTCCAATACCCGCACCAGCCATTGAAGCGTGTAAGCCCCATGCACATCGAAAAAGTGCTCCAGTTACAGCGCCAGCCGCTAAAACAGCATAATTAAGAAAATTAATAAGAAATAGCTATTCTAAACCAGTGTGACAGGAACAAAAGGATTCCAGAGCACTGTTAACATTCATCACAGGCTTCAGTCGAGCGGCAATGAACTTGACAACTGAAACCTTACCAACAGCATTAAGATCATCTTTCGCACGCAGTTTTCCAAAAATAATGTTGGCAACAGAGAACATAAAAACAATAGAACCAGCTGGATGAGCGAAACCACTACCATGTTTTACCGAGGAATTCATCAAACGAGTCATAAACGGTTTAAAAGGCTGAAAAAATATGTCTGATATAAAAATCATGGAAGTGTTATAATTCAAAGATTCTAGAATTCTAAAAGATCAGGTACTCATCCTTCTTGGATTACTGTTCCTTTTTCCATGTTTTTTTTTACTAAAAAATCCTTGGAAAGGAGACAATTAGTGACATGAAATATTCAAAATTTGAAGTATATAAAAAAAAGCTCTACGAAAGTAAAACTGATACTCACCAGCTGTCTAGTATTAGGATTCCGTAATTCTGGTAGGATACCGCGCAAACTACCCAATGCATAGCCACTCAGAACAGCCCATCCAATCCGCCCCATTGCAAATTCTAGTTCTCCTTTCGATTCACCAGGAATAATATACATGAAAATACGCAATACCATTACAACTCTGATGCGAATAAAGATTTTCACATGTTACTCTCCTCAGTTTTTTCATTCAACAGTTTTCCTCTCTAAAACAAAGGACTTCACAGATTTATGCCAAGGTAATATGATTACGGAAAAAAGGTTTTTTTTTCGAAAGAAGTTGATAAGAACCTTAAATCTTAATAGGCTGATGTTCTTTTCTGGGAAAAAAATGGAAAAAATTAAAAACAAATCGTAAAGTGTTAACACTTCAGAACATACTGTGGCGTTGATTCTCGGAAAACAGCAGGATCCATTTGAAGGTAAGGCGACAGCTGCTTCTCAAGTGGTACGCCAGCCTGCTTCAACTGATCTAATGCAAATATCGGAGATCTCTCTAAATTGACCATACTTGTACCATTTCTGCTAGAATCCAGTGTGCTACCTAAGTCAGATACTGATGAATCGATTTCTGCTAAATCAGATATTGAAGCTGACTGCGCATCTGAATTTGAGTCAGGCGATGACGCAGCTGTAGGGTTTGTCGAACTAAAAGGCCAAACCATCTTGATGCTTCCCTATAAATAGAAAGTCGTGAATGATTCTATCACAACTTTCACTCACACATCAATTCTCCAACTTTCATCAGATTTAAAGTCCGCTGTCACCAAATTTCAAATACATTAAACCTACATATTTGAGAAAAAATAAATCTACTGATAAATAATTGATAATGATATCGCAAAAGGTAGAACAAATTATAATTGCCTTATTAAGATCAATAATACGACCCGAGTTCGAAGTTCTTATCTGGAGAAAAGGATGGCCCTTTAAATACTGCGCTAGCTTAGTAACTGAACATGTCTCTCTCTTACTCATATAAGCAACTCATTTTTTGTTCTGCAGTAAAATACTGAATGAAACAAGATTTTTTCCACATGGCTTCTTAGATATTTCGTAAGATCGAAATTGCATAAAATTAATTCGGTAATGGCTCATCGAATTCTTCAGATAAAACAGTTGATAGAGATGATATGGTGGTAGGAACGGGAGAAATATTCAATGAATATTAAATTGGATGAGAATCTTCGCTTTATCCAGTAATCTCTAGAATTTGCGAAGCAGGCAAATCCACAACGACTGAAAGTTGGTCTTCAAAAAGCACTTAAATCTTACCGATATAACAAAAGAACGAGACTGTATCCGTGTTCAGATAGATTCGTATCACCAACGTCCAAACCAAGCACCTGAAATGAAACTCATGCCTAGTCAGTCGAACAAACACGAAAAGCGCTCCAGTAACGACGAAACAAACGTCGAAATTACGTAACAGAACCAAAAATGATAGAATAATTTAATTCTTGGCATAACGCCGGATCAAATCTCCTATGGCGCCAATTCAAAATTCCCATTCTTTGTAGCATAAAACCCACCACACTCCACAACCCATCGCCGCCTCGGCAACGACACCTCCAACTTCTCAGCAAATTTCAGGAGGCCCTGTTTCCCGCCTGTTCATGCTTCATACTTATCAAATAACGCAATTTTCGGTCCAATCAATTTTGAAAAATTTGAATTTCCGCCAGTGAAAGGTGAATCTGGAGAAAAAATTTGATTACGAAACCATTTTGTTGCAAATTGCATCTGACATTTTGAAGCTTTTTCTGAAGCTGCACGTACTCTACCCTCTCACTGACTTCAACTCCTCCCTAACAAGCCAGAAAGTAACTAAAATAAAACGAATGAGATTTAATGACGACAAAACATCTACAAACAACAGCAATAGTCTCTAATAACCCATCCAGAATCAGATATTAGGAATGGAAACTGAATAAAGACAAGTAATTTCTTCAGCATGTAAAGAATAACGGGATAAATAATGTTCTTATAATATTTCTAAATAACACGCATGGTTTTATATAATATTTCAAGAAGCGCTTCTATGAACAGAAAAATGGCCAAAACAATGCAACTTTCTTTCTACCAACTGCTGGATCTTGAGAAGCTTCTCCAACTGTTATCCATGATCAGGATTTAGGCATCTATAATATCTGATTCACCCATTCAACTCCAGCAGACGATAAGAGACAGAAATAATATGACCCGAAATGCAAAAAACACACATGGAACGGAAACTAGTCATGACTGTTCACTATCAATAATCACAGCCTACACTTCACATCATTCTGCCCATAATAAATGTGTTTATACATACTGAAATCCTTTACCTTCCCTATTTCATTTGTGCCAGAAATATTTACAAGCAGCACAAGCTCACCTACTAATAGCAGATCTCTATCATATCATATGGAGATTCAAATATAAGATAATAGTGGGACTCTTGAAGTGACAGAAAATGGATTCTACAATTAAATAATGATACAATAGATTATACATTATTCTAAGTAAAAATAATAAACCCAATAATGAAATTCTATTAGCCGAGATAAGAAAATTACAAACACCGAAAAACAAAATATGTACAAGATAACTAACAATGCAACCCTAGAATTCAGAGCTGAATAATTTTTACATTCAAATAAATGCAAACGACCAATTCATCTGAAACTGCCCAAAACATATCAGGAAGAACAAATGCATTGGAAAATTACAAGTGATTTAAAATTTCACTTATTGGCCCAGTTTCGCATTTTAAATGTTGTGAAATACGAAAAAAATTAAATCAGGACTCTGCCGTGTTATAAAATTTTAATAATGTTTATCTCCGATTACGATTAAAATCATCGCGTGGTAGTTCATAACGCCGAGAGCGACGATCATCATCATAATCTCTGTAACGAGTCATACGATTACGATTATCACTAGAATAGCGCCTACCACCGTTATTGTGAAGCTGCTGTTGCACTCCTCGATTACCATTGCGTTCACGGTCTCGATCACGCCCATGCGGATCTCGCAGACCTCCACGACCAATGTCGTCGTCTCCACGAAATCCTCCAAATGATCGGTGGTCTCCACGGCTATCCATTGTGGTACCGTAATTTTCAAAGTGCTTTCTGGGTTCGTGGCGTAAATCACCATTAACCTTTACTGAATCGACAACACTGTTACTGTTGCCACCATTCGTTAATGGCCTTCTAGAAAATAGAGTAGTGGCAGAAGCTATTGTTGTAGAACTAGAACTTGACGGCGACGGCGAGGAAAACGTACATGAAACCAAGGGAGTAGCTGTAGAGAAACTGCTGGTGCTTAGAGAAAAAGCGCCAGGTGGTGGACATTCCATAACACCAGGTGGAGGTATATTTAAGGAATTTGGTGGTGGAACAACTACAGGTCTTGGAGGCGGGACAGCGAAAGAATTGGGAGGAAATGGAATTGTTGTTGGCAATGGTGCGGAAGTTGCGGACATTACAGTATAGGGTGGCATTGCAGCTGGTACAAAATTGTTTAGTGGTGGCATTCCCAGTGATGGACGCATATTCGGTGGCGGTGGTGGCAACATTCCAGGAAGTGTGGTAGATTGTGAAGATGATCCGGTTTGAGGATTAGCATTTAACAAGGATGGTTGACTTCCAAGAATGGGGGAATCGGCCATTCTGCTTGCTGTTTGGCTACTATGCAGCTGACTGGAAATAATTGGCGTTTGAAGAGAATTTGTAGTGCCAGAAATGGATGCAACATCCGTCGGAGTGCCTGGTCCGGGCGTGGGTGGTGTAGAAAAATTCGACGACGAATCGTGAAACCATTGTGGAAGATTGCCATTTGATTGGGAGGTTTGCGCATCTTGCATTCGTGTTACGCCAGGAAGTGGTGGGGAACTAACGAGCCGAAACGGTGATATCTGGGATACTTGAGGTTGGTTTGGAAGTTCAGAGGACAACATTGAGTTAGATGAAGCTTGTGACAGTAGTGGAAAGGATGAACTACCAACTGTGGCAGTAGGCTCGACTGATGATAAGCAACCAAGGATTGAAGAGGACGGTAGATGAGACGCAAGGCGCGGATCGGACATAACCGATGGTGAATTTGTTCTGGATGTCTGAAAATACATTACTATTTGAGATTTCACTGTTCGGTAAATGTTCTGTAGAGGGAAAAATATAAATGCATAAGGAAGAAATCGGTCCTACGATGCTAAAATCTTTCTGACATAAACAATACAGTAACATTTCCTGTTGGCTACAATGATAGCAATATATCAGTATTAGAATCAGTCGCAACATTATGGAATACGATAACTTTTATCTAATAATGACGTGGTTCGACACTGCTAGCGGTTCCAGATATTTTTCAAATTAACGAATAAAATAGTAAGATAAAAAAAACAAAAATGCAGGAAAAGAAATTACCTCACTTGCTCGGATTCCTTCTATCATTTTCAACATATGCGCCGAACCTCTGAATGACTGATCCGTTTGGAGGGAATCTAAAGTTCGTTTTATCACCGAATATTGGAAATTTTGTGTTATCAACAGATGTTTCGAAAAATTCTTAAAATAGAAATGAAAACATCTAAATAGATGGAAGAAAGTTAATGATATTGTTCTGATCCGAAATAAGCTTCTAGCTTCAAGTTCAATAAGCAAAAACAAATTTAATTAATATTTACCAGGCGTAACAACGGATTCCTCCTTAGCGGGTACTAGTTTTGGTAACGGCAATAATGAGCTAGAACCGCATTGTGGTCCTCTCATTTCTATAAGCGTTTTCATTAAACATACGAGACAGTGGATAAACAAAACAAAGATAAAAGTTCAAAATAATGAGCGAGATAGACATTTGAATGCGGCCGTTTTATTCTAATACATCAAAAGATAGAATATATACAGAAAGAGCAGCAATTAAATTTTAGAAACTTACGTTTGAATGCAATTTCTACACCCTCCCTAAACGGATCGTCATTGGCTGTTGGTGAAGGGGCATCACGTGGAGGCGAAGCACCTGGATAAACACTTGTTTTTAACATTTCTTCTACTTCTGCACAAACTTCATCGATCCCAGCACCAAATTTTTGGTAAGCCTGAAATGTAGTTTACAACACTAATTAAAATTCTACTTAAAAACCATGATGATAAAGTGCAGATGATATTATGACTTAAAGCAATATAATACTTGAATTCATAATATCCTTCCCTTTTCAAAAATGCTTATAAAAAAATGAACTGCGTACATCTTCCACAACAGTCACATCTCGTAACTGCAGAGTGAAACAACGTTTGGCTCGTTCAATTTCACCCAAAAGGTGCTGTCCACGCTTGCGGTGCTTTGCTAATGCTCCAAAAAAATCTGTTAGCTTTGTGTAAGACTGTTCAATTTCTCCCATAAATTTCTCACCATCTCGACGATCTGCAAATTACAAAGAATTTGAAAAACTCTAACTTCATTAAAATCTGAAAATAAACAACATTATTTATATATTTATATATCTCCTTATTTATATTTTATTAAAATGCATTTTTAATTTGACCTTATACGTTAAGGCATTCACTTACAGCTTACGAATTAACATTTGATACTGATGCCAGCAGTCATAAATTTCTTGATGTATAAGGAACGTCAAGTTAAAAATGCTTTATAAAATTAGAAATTTATAAACCTAATATATTTTAAAAGTTTACCCTACCTTTCATTCGACTCTTTATCTTATCCTTAAAATTGAAGTCACTTCTGGAAAGCAAGTCTCTTGCGCGCTCCATAACCAAATTTCCTTTATGATAACCCTCAACGTCACGTATTAGATATCCAATATCGAAATCAATTAGTGTATTATCTTCCAACTCATTGCTGTCATCTGAACTGATTTTTTTGTAATGTAAAGATACAATGAATTCGAATACAAAAATTAAAAGTTAAATTATACTAGTTTCCTTACGTTAACAATGACTCCTAATCTCAGTGCACTAATTTCACAGTCTGGAGAAAAAATGGAACAAATACAGGTTCAAAGCGGAATTGAGCACATAAGTTCATATACTCTTTATTATGTAATAATCAGTTGCTGATAGTAAACAAAAAATTGAAACTAACTAAAACATACCGAAAAGCAAGATTATAGAACTTACTCTGTGCAGCACGCATGTCAGCCAGCTGTGATTTTGAATAAATTTGACGCTCTTCGAATATATCAAGTATTCTACTAACAGCTTTCTGAACGTTTTCACTACCTCTAAAAATTGAATATAATTAATAATAGATGAACTATGACTACAAATTCTGGTTTTTTTCTTGAAACTCTTGTTTTTTTCAAACTATGATATATGTAAATAATATATGCTTGATTCTATTACTTCAGAACAATGCGTAAAAAAGTAACTTGAAAAAAGAAAAACTAGTAAAAGCAATTTGTATAAAAAAGTCCATAAAACGTGCTTTAATATTTCCATAAGGTAAGAAAATGGAGAAAACGAACTCTTGAACTTTGATCTGATAATTCTAACAACAATAAAAATTACAAAATTATTCTGCGAACGTTATTAAGTACGTTGAAGTCATTTAAAATTCATTTCAAAGAAGAAGTACCTAGAATATGAAATAGCATTGACCCAATGTGGTGCAAAAGCTTGAAGTAAGATATGTGAATCGCCCTTTTTTTTCGCTTTTTGGCAAACATCATTCGCTACGTAGAACAGAGCAATTTGTAACGAATCGCCAGCTGGAAGAACACAAATTGCAAAAATAGCAAGAGCACTGGTGTAACACTACTTTAAACAATATGATCTTTATATATTAAGAAAATTAAGACTTGAAAGTGCTTAACAGTGGCAACAAATAGAGACCAATGCATCTGTGTTTAAAACACTGAGTTTAAGCTAATGAGGATTGCAAAAGAAAAGAATAAGACAGACAACTGCTAATAAAATGTAACAACCTTTCTGCCTTTTATGGCAATGGCCTGATGTCAGTGCCTCAATTAAGTACTTCCGATGATATTAAGATTACGTATAATTGAACACACCAGTAAAAGCTAAACCCTAACATAAAATTTTAAATATAGGGTCGTAGAAAAAGTGAGATAAATAAATAAAACTGAATGAGATCCACTGAATCATTTAAGTTATATAATAGTTCAAAAAGAGGTTAATCTTCTTTTTTCTTAGCACAATGCTTACTTACAAATTCAAGGTCGCAGTCAGGAAAAAACTATGGCCGATTCCCATCCTTTCTAGTATCATAAAAAGATGTATTAAAATTACGATCAAATAATAAAAATAAAAGAAATCAGCCAAAACCGGGACAGACAACACCAATAAAAAAGAAGTTAAATAAGAAATTCAAACAAAAAAACTTCTATTCCAGCTGAAATGGTAACTGAAAAACGGCTAATCACGAAATAAAAAAGAAATCGATTTTATACTCGGAGAAATATTGGTATTAAACGATGTGCTAGGATATTCCAAAGAAGAATTACTAAATAGCCTGCGATACTTGCATTAGTAATGCCTATTTTGGTTACTGGAACATAACTAACGGAACATAGTTCCATAACAACATTCATTGTTTCCATAAGAATTTCATCCATTAGCTTCAACTCTACGAACTAAAAAAAACACTATATAGGAACAAATATGAGGGCCCTAAAACAGCGAAATCACTTTTATCATATCCAAATCTACTTCATAAGAATTAGTAAATCTGAGTCTTAAGAAAGGCTGATGATTAATTCAATCCTCTCACTGAAATCACTGTGAATACACTTGGTAAGAATTTTACCAGTTCTGAATACTTCAGTCCAGCAGTTCACAAACTGTGCAGCTAAGTCGCGATGATGTAGTATCCACATGGATGTCGTTTGAATTGATTCTGAACTTTGATCGACGGCTCTAAGTCGTCGTGCGATCACTTCTTCTGATAGTGCCATTATCCGTATTTCTGCATATGCTTCGATCTCTAGAACTGATCAAATAATACGTCAATAAGATTCAGATGCTTACAAACTGCTCACCTTGTAACTGCGAGGCAGCTAATCAGGGAAAATTGGTCCCAATGTACCTCAAGCCACCACCAACACCGTACAAACGAACAAAACAAAGAAAACTCTCGGAGGAAACGAAATCACAATGGTAACGGACAAACATTCAGACCTGCGGAGCGCTACGAAATAACAAAATCCCTACGCGATCAATTTGTAGTCGATGTTGTGAGTGTAGCATTTTGGATACTATACGGTAGTTAGGATTTCACCCTGAAGTATACTCAGAAGTACATTTGCACTGAAAAGGAGTGCAATTTGGTGTGATAGCAGCAGAAAATTGACGCTCCTATTCTTCCTCTGCTCTGTGATAAAAATTTAGCATGGATGGCTTCCTCTATTATCAATGTTAAATCCTTCTAATGTCTCTTGCAATCTTTTCCCGACCATTGCTTGCACAGTTTCTTTCAAGTACTTTTACGTAACTGGTGCTATTTTACAGAAAGTGCAAAGTTATAAAACACATTCTTCGTTTGTCTCTTATCAGCACTCGATAGTGCTCCCATTGTTTTCATTCCTCTGTTTCGTGGATTTCAATATGTATAATTACACGGGGTGATTTGTCAGATATGATTAATACAATGAAATTCAACACAGGAGCAGACTGTAATTCCCCCAAAGATCATACTACCAGGAAACCATATTCTTAAGCCTGATGACCGATCGGATATCTTCAAATTCCGACTAATCTTCTAAAATACAAAAAATCCGCATGAAATTCACATAGTTTTTAAATCAAATATCGAAACATAAGAAGTATTTGCTAAAAAATTATAGAATTCCAATGACGGCTTTTTTGAACTGTATACATTGATCATAGCTCATCACATTTAATTAATTGTGGTGTATAAGACTGTTTTTAAGATCCTATATAAGATAGATCCAATGCGCATTTCATTTATATATTACTTAAAAGCTCCAATTTTCAAAACTTATTCCCTTTCATGCTAATTTTACTTGGTAGCTCAATAGAGCAACAGTTGGAGAATGTTAAATTTATTTTCAAATATAAAAATATTCATTAGATTCTTCATTATCCAAGAGTTTTTCTTAAGACGAAATCAGTTGCAATAGATGCAATCGATAAGACTGGTCGTTGTGGATCTCTGATTTTTGGGATTGAATTCAAAACGATCTTCTCTATCAACCCATTCTTATCAATATCGAGACCGCGGAACAAACGATCTTCACTTCCTGGTAGCCATTCCAATGGCGATGGCTTTGCTAACGGCTTACTGGAATCTGTAATTAGAAAATTTTGAAAAATGCTGTTAAAAATTCATTCTCCATTTTTATTTGAATTCTGCAGAATATGAGACAATAAAAGCCACGAAAATAAGTGCAGACATAAGACTTTCTAATCCAAATTGGATATGATAGAACCAACCTTGAATATAACTTAAACTGAATGACCCATCTTGGCCGAGTTCCATACCATCAAAAATAATCAAAGCTTCTGCTTGCTCTGATAACACGTTTACTTCATCACTTCCACAGCTACAAAGTACAGATAAACCAAAAAAGGAAAAACACTTTCCGGGAGAGGTAAATAACATTTTAGAATTCATTTTTATTTTTCAAATTCTAAACAAATTTCAACAAAAGTTATAGGAGAAATTTGCTAGTGATAGAAAGGTACAATTGTAAATTTCAGAAGTTCACAAATAAATCTTAAACAAAACGAAACTACCACACTTTTTATTAATTTCAAACACATAAGGCTGATAATGCTTGCAATGTACCAACTTATCATTCAAAAATTGGGAAAAAAAGAATTAATTATGTGTAAAATTTGAAAATTAAAATAAACCATATTCTGAATCCGGTTTGCTCAAACATTGAATTATGCTTTATTTCCAGATATGCTCGACATGTAGCTTCACAGCGGAAATTAGTCGATTCAATTCTAATTCGTATTCTCGCATTATTTGCCTAGAAAATTCAAAGTTGCAAGGTAGATTTGATTGTTTTTTGCAATGTGACGTTAAATTAAAATCAAGTTGTCCGATGTAAAAAAGAAATTAAAAATTAATAAGCTTGCTTGGAACAGACAATCAAATAAAAAAATGAATTCACTGTGATTCTCCAGTAACATTTTTGAGAGCCTCTGTAATCGAGTTGTTGCCAGATGCCTGTTGCAATGAGTTCGGCACCACAGACACCTAAATTAAACATGAGAGCACTTTTCTTCTCTTATCATTCTTTCGAAAAGAAATATCAATTTTTTTTTCAAATTCGAAATCCAATTTTATAAAGTTATTATTAAATTAAGGAAAGGAATTTTCGGTAATAATAGGTAATAAGGTAATAGTTATATAAGATAATTTATATACTTGGTTGAACATTAATACATGTTAGACCACCTAATCCGGTTGGACATTTACAATATTGACAGTTGTTCGGATCAGGATATCCACCATTTGCACATGCTAGTGTCGAAGCTTCACATATATCTGTAAAATTCTCGTGGTTATAGAAATTTAAAAGTAAAAATTATTTTATATTTAAATTACAAAAAGAATTCAAAATAAACAAACAGTAGGCATGAATATGACCAGTCAACAGCATTGATTACTTTTCCTACCCTTAAATCTCAATTAAAAAATGCAAATATTATTCTTTCTTATTTGAATCAATTTCATGTAGGACGGATAAAATAAACTTACGATTACAGTAAAGTCTATTTATCTGTTTTACATCTATAAATGATGGACCATATCTTTGACCAATCGTATGACTATATCTTTTATCCACCGTTTCAATGGTTGCATGATTCGAATCAACAGAAAATGCCTGAATTGTATTTTCGAGAAAAACTTTTAAATGAGATAAGACATTATTTCAACGCTTTTATGCATTAATTATAATTAGAATAGACTTGAAGATTATTTTATTTAATAAAAGATCCAAAGACTCGTTGAAATTATGCAAAATGTGTTAATTGAATGCAAAACTGTTTATTTGCAACATACATTCGGTCCATAATGCATCACAGAACCGAGGTCAAATGGTACTCCCATATTTTCAATTTCCAAATATGATCGTTTGACAAAATTACCCTCAGTGCCACGAGCAATATATTGATTCTTCAGTTTAATGTACTGATCTCGATCTAATCGAGATTGTTCATGCCAAAAACCTAACGAATGACCAATTTCATGAGCAACAATACCAAGCTGGAATTAGTAAGTATATTTGTATAATTCATTTCTGATTACCTGATTGATTAACTCATTCTTCTTTTCCCATTTTTTATTTTCTCATGAAAAATATTGAAATACTCTTTTTTTATGTTAATGAAATATAAGCATAAATCGGAGTCACTGAAGTTCTTCGTGTTATAAAATTTTATTTTTGAAAAGGAAGAAGGAATAAATGCTGATTGCATACACTTTCACAACCATAACCAATTGATATTTCTTGACGACCGCCTGTTCTACCAACGTTCGAATAGCATCTTAATAAAATTTATATTGAAAAATTCGAAGAGAGTTAAGCAGAGAGTGTTTATTAAATTAGTGAATGAAATTTTCTTAGATTGCAAAATTCTCATTTGTTAACTGAAAATTTTAAAAGTTTGTATAAAATCTTAAGATGTAAACCCGCTTCCACGAAAAAAAACCACTCGGTCATATCCGGGACCATTTTCCTGCCATCGAATGCATGTCTCGCGTTGCAAGAAGTATAATGCTGATCGTATTATATTACGCCATGTTTCTGCAAAAAAATTTAAATTTGAAAAATTTGAAATTCAATTTAAAAAAGACTAGAAAAGAAATCTGAACAGCATGTGAAACATAACATAACGATGGCTAATTTCAATCATTTCAAAGATATATTAAACCAAAAAAAAACGAACCATCAGATGAAGCAAATTCATAGGATATATTTATATTTCTTGGCCATCGATATACGCTACCTGTAATGACTTTTCGTCTAATTCTCCGATGATCATTATCCATTTGCTGCTCTTTTCCTGCCATTACAATTCTAAATTTAAATAAATTCAATTCGGATATTACAAGAATATAGAATGATCAAAAAAATTATGGATGGTTTCAAAATGTTATCATATCCTTAAAAGAGACTATCATCTTTATTTTAGCAAAAGGAAACAGTTATCAACGGAAGACAATCAATCATTTTCAGATCTCCTAAGAAAACAAATCCTACCATAGCTCAAATCGAAAACATTTCTATAAAAATACGATACAATTTCTTCTTTCCAAAGAGATGCATCTTACAGTACTCTATTCGCCATTTATTTATTCAAATTAAAATTTTTAAATTTTTTCTGAACTCAAAAAAAGTCGAATTTTCGTTTTATAACATTGTATGGAAGTCTTTTCATAGAGCATTTTTCTGATTCAATGTGCTTCTATGATTGTAACTTTACTCATAAAGATTAAAACTCGAAGAGGGAACTTCTATTCCGATATAATAAGAATCTGAATTCGCTCTTCACGGATTAACTGGGACCTTAAGGCAGGATTTTTATGTTTTTTCATCCTTTTCATTGCTGGATATAAGTCTAAATAAGAGGTTTAATAAGCCGCATCGTCCAAGTAATCCGGAAATCAAAAATTTTACAAACAGGTAACTCTATCAGGTCACAAGTTCAAGCTTATCCAAAATTAGCTTCTCTCAGCTCATTAATAAAAAATTATATGGGATCGGAGATAGCTATTAAAGAAAAAAATAAATACGTTCCATGCCAAAATTAAACAATTGTTCTAAGTGAACAAAAATTGCTTTTTCATCACTGAATTAAAAGAACAAAAAGAAAAAAACTTCAGAAAGGAAACAAAGAAAGAGGAAGCTGACCTTTTCCTATTAAGTTCGAACTATTACGTGAATATAAATTGAAATGCTTGTTAACAAGCGTGAAATTGAATCAACCACAATGGTAAGGGTTAAGGTGTCAAGAGATTATTATATTGGAAGAATATTATCGTCTGCTATTCAAGAACTTTAAATGATATATGCTATGTTGTCAGTTTAAAAAAACAAATTAAATTATAATCATACCTTTTTATTTGATCTACAGTCAAAACAATATCACTTTCGAATAATTTTTTTGCAAGTGGTCTGTTACGACCTATTTCTGTTCCATCGTTTATTGGCCGTAATTGTTGCTAAAAACTCTTTGAGAAAACATTCATCTCATGCTAGTATCATGCATACCATATCACTTGATATAATTTTATAAATCAGGTAAATTCACTATCACTGCCAACAATCTGGCAGTAACTATTGAACTGAATCCTAACTTTTTAGCCAGAAGCAAATACATACCATGCGACTATTATCATTACTATAAGCGGAAGACATGGAGTTAAAGAAAATGTTGAGTAATTTCTGCACTAATCCATAATCCTGATTTTGATGACGGTGAACATCCGAATACTGAGCTATCTCGTCTAATAACTAAAAAATCAACAAATCAAGAATGCGATAAATGTAGTGAATATGAAATATGAACCAAATTAACTTACTCCAGTAATCTCTTGTCCAAAGATTATTGATTCTCTTATTGCATTATTAGACATAGGCGATACTCTACTCGCTTGAAATCCGGATGCAGATCTGAAAAATGCCACCTAATTCACATGTTGCTCATACAACGATTATATAGATGCATTTATTCAATTGTCTATTTTAGCTATTTGCTAAATAAGCTACCCATTATTAGTTTTGTTAAGTTTATGTCAAGTTAAAAAGTTAAATTTATGTATAGTTGAGCTTACTGCTGTTGTGGTTGCGCATTTTGATGAAAATTAAATGTTTGTGGTTGCTGTTGTTGACCAAAATATCGTTGCTTTTGTAGAATTCCGAATGTTTGTGATACTGAAATACAAAAGAATAAGGCGATCCACTGTTTGCGATTAGATTGTTGCAGAAAGAAGCAAAGATAATCAATCCAATTATAAACTTTACATAAACGGACCACTATTCGTTGGAAAATGATTTAACGAAGATTGCAATAATCGTGGAGTTCCATGAAAATTGTTAACAATAGAGTTATAATCACTTCGACCGTTTGTCATCGTCATCATTGCTGGTCGTACAGTTGCTATTTGTGGAATCGATGTTGGTGGTTTAGAATGTACAATTTGAAGCGGCTGAAAATTAGGAAGAAATTATCAGGAATGGATGAAGACTTTATTAAAATGATAATATTGCAATCTCTGCAATTTTCTGTTCAAAGACCTTTTGTAACAATCTGAAATTGATAATTTTAGAGGATGATGACAGTGAAAAGAACATAATTGTTTGTGATCAATCGATTCAATAAAAAGACTTCAATAATGTCTGAATAATTTCAATTCTGAAAACAGTTTTTTCATCAAAAATTTATTGAAACTAAAAAATTTATCAAAGGGAAACTTAAATATTAATATGTCTATGTTTTAAAAAAATCTTTATTCTTGAATGCTTCATTGAATTTAGAAGGATAAACGATAATTTTACTTAGTTGGTGCTAAGAAAAAAAGGAAGAAGAAAGTTGATTTGTTTAAAAAATTGCATAAAGTCATAGAACAAATAGATTAAAGGTGAAAAAATTGATTTAATCTTTGGAGGAAAAATAAACGATGTCTTTAATACTGTAAAAGATGATATTTTTGAACAGTGAAAGGTGAAATAATAAATTGATTAGTAAAGTTTTTTTCTTTTAAGTTTTAAGGAAAAACAGTATCCACTCGTTTTACTGGCAATAATCAGATTTTTCAAATCTACGCCAAAGCATATTGGAACATGAAGGAAGATAGAGAAGGTAGCCATCTGATGCTAACATCGTTATCCTTGAGATATTGAAATGATATGATACTTACTGATCGGTAGGAAGGAATGAAACATCTCATACCACAGGATTTAGTGAGATTAACAAAGAAGAAAAATGAACAAGTATGGCTTGAAAGATTGAATAGAATAGAAAAATTGACTTATTCTACAAAAATTTTCAGTTTTTCTCATTTCATAAAATAAGAGTTTCAGATCTTTAGAGGCAAAAAAAGTTTTCCAACTCGAAAGTTTCTCAAATGTTTAAATCATTCTAATTATTACCTAATGATTATTCTCTCTAGTAAGAACGTCCTACACTCTTCGGTTCTTACCATAACCCTGTAATGGTTATAGATCATCAGAAATGGCCATCAAACCACTTCAGATTTCAAGTCTTAACCGCTGTTAATCGGCGGTGATAATATTCAATTTTGGTCAGAGTTTCTGGGGAATAAATCTCTTACCAGCTTAATCAGCGGATGCGTTTGGCATTGGATGTATGTAAATTACTATCAATTACTGAATTGAAAAACTAAACTTACTGCCGAAAGTTTTGGAAGTTTTAGAAGAACGGTACAATAAAAAATATAGACAGTTTCCAGTTTCAAATGACACAAAACAAGCGAAATAAACCATTCTGATCTAAACCACCTTATCATATATTTAATTCGTCTCTTTCAGTTGTTTATTGTCTTTCATATGTATAAACCATCACAGTTGAGTTTAAGTTTAAAGTGATTGGATGTGATATGTTATCATAGACTTGACCTTAGTCAAAAATTAATGGCATTGCATAATGTTAAGAGGCAGTTTTCATCATTTGTAGTTACTTTTCTTGTAAAATCATCTAACTTTACCATTAATATATACTGATGATATTAATACTGATACACTGATGATGATATTGCATTCACTAAAGGAATGATTTTAAAGTGATCAAACTTTAAAATGTTTACAAGTAAAGCAAAGATTGATACTTCTAAGACGATAATGAGTGAAAAGAGGTAATGTAAAGTCGCATTCAACAATTTAAGATTTTAAATCACAAAAACCAGAGCGATAATTCAACAAAGAAAACAAACTTTGGATTACGGTACATTTGGATGCTTGACATTTTTCTTTTATCAAACTTCTTTTTTAGTATCATCATAAAATACTGTCTAAAATATTGATGAGTTGTTTTTGGAGGAGGCTATAGGAATTATATAAGAATCGCAAGAAACAGGTAATCACAATATGATTAACTATTAACATAACAGAAAAGATTTTTGTTAAAAAATTTTTTGATTAAATCGAAAAACTATTCCTAATTACTAATTAATTCGTTTTATAAATCAGCATTTTCAGTTTTTAACAAAAATTTTGAGAAATCAGGTGCGATAAATAGTTATTTGAATGAATCTGTATCAGTTCGATCTTAATCGAAAAAGGAACATAGCAAACCTGGGACCTTGACTGATCATTTTGTCTTTGAAGTAGAGCTTGGCCAATATTGGTGCCAAGATTAACAAAGTCCTAAAATAATAAAAAGCTAGGGCACATTTCTTTTTCCTTTTTATCCAAAAGATACAAAAAAGTGATTAGTCTACTAATAAAGTATAGTTTATAAAATTTAAAGTTAGAAGAATTTTTGAGAAGAAAAAAATTATGAAAAATTCATATCAGAATTTTATCAAAAAATAAAGGGATAATGAAACGATTGATATTTCGCTTTAAAAAGTTAAGGTTGAAATTTGAATAATTTATGAGAAAATACCTGCATCCAGTTTCCGCCATTAACAGTTCCTGCACTTTTAGGAGCAATACCGTTTCCGAAAAATGGTGAAATCAATGAAAAGAAATTCTGGCACTGCAAAAAAGTTAGGAAGAAAATTGTAATTAAGTGATCAGTAATTAATAATCAAATTTGTATTCATATATTCTGATAAAGAGACGCTTTCATTGGAAAAGCTAGAAAAAAAAATTCCCGGGATTGTGTGTACCATTGTATACTTGGAGAAAAAGAATTGATAGTAAAATTTGCATAACTAATGAGTAAAAGTTAATCATCGAATGGAAAATAATGCATATTTTCAAACGAGATTCAAGTTACTATTGAATGAATGAATAAGTTTCCTTAGTGTCAGCTATAAATTATAGTATAAAAAGTGTTATTAATTAATTACAGCAAAAACGCTTTGCGCGTACTGTGAATCTCATCATTCTTCTGAAATGGAAATCATTAGTCATTCTATGAAGCCGGTTTTAATGGAAGAACTTGTAACTATTACATATTATATGTCATACTTCTCTTTTGCTATTTGCGATAAATGCGTAATTACCGCAGCAATACATTTATCAGAGAAGGCAGCGAGCGGAAAAAGAAGAACTTGATTCTATGTAAAAAGGGCCTTTAATGATGTGATAATCAGCCGAAAATTAATATATTTAAAAAAATTTGTCTAGTTTTGTGAAAAATACAATGAAAATTTTTTGTTATCAAATAAGGCACAAATGAGAAATGCATAACGTTCTTCTTGCAAGCCTTTTCAAAACGAAATTTTTGGGCATGAAGAATTTGAAATAAGAAATTTTTAGAATTAGAATGAGTCACCTGTATACAAATTTTATAAAATCATACTGAAATTAAAACAGTAAAACAATTTAGAATTAACTGAGTGCAATTATCTAATGCTAAATTCACTCAAAGATGTCAATTTTCATTTGAAGCAAAAATTCACTTATTTTTTTTTTCAAATTAGAAAGCTGAATTAAAAAAAAATCTTACTTTTATAGCTTGACAAAACAATGTTACAACAATAATAACATAAGCTTCTTTCATTGAACGCAATTAACCGTATTTCCTACAATCTGTTTCAAGTTGGTTTAGTGGAAGAACTTATAAGCAAATATAGAAAATGAAACAAACCAAATCAAGATGATTCGAAAACTAATAGTTTTTTTACAACCTTTTTGAAAGATATTCAGATATTTTTTTGAAATCTATAATAAATAATAAATACCAATCACATCTTTACGTTTATATAAAAACTAAAAATTAAACCCTTAAACAAAGTATTCATTTACTATCACTCAAACAAATCTTCTTAAATCGCAAATGATAGGTTTCAGACTTTCCTTCAAAGAACTATAAAGTAAATATCGAATTGATATTATATCAAATGATAGAAAAGGTTTAAATATTTGAAATTAAGAGAATCGTTTTGTGATATCAGATGGTCAAGAAAAGAAATTTGCAAGTTTAGGTTTGTAAGTTGAAAGACTAGCAGCAGAATTGTCGAAAATACATTTAATTTAAAAAATATTGTAGGATAAAACTTAACCAATCTCGCAAATTTATTTTTTAAATTCAGACCTATAAAATTTGTGGGAAGTAACAGTACAAGTTACTGTTACTATATTAATTTTTTATATAAAAAGTAAGAAATTATTTGGGAGGATTTCTAGGTAATTAATTGTACCGCAAAAAAAAGACGGAAGAATATTTCATGTGGTGAGCAATTGTTCGGACAGAATGAAGTGAAGAAATGATATTGGAAGAATCCAGTTTGAGAATATCCAATTTCTGACGTCTATCTGCCATATTCATCCTCTGTGGTCACATAAGTTGCATGTTGATTGTAGAAGTAGTAGTGGTACTATAACAATTGTTTTTAATATCTTTTACCCATTATCAAATCATTTAACAAATTGACGATTGATGACAACGATAGGAGAAAAAAATACTTCAAGCACTACTAATCGATAGCCACCTGGATAGTTCATGAATTCAAGAGAGCATACCTTTTCATGTTTATTACATCGAAATGTTAAATTTCTAGGACAGGTTCATTTGGTAGTGCAGAATGAAGGATGCAGGATGCATGCAGCTGCTCAAATGGCTACTCAGTGAAGACCATGTTTACTCACTTTTAATATATTTTCTTTACTTATAAATGTATTCGATCCTTTGTGTAGTGCTGATTTGACAATACTGCCTAAAAGATTAACGGAAAATGCAGTACCAAAACTTTTGCAATTGGCGGTATTTTTGCAGGAGCAAGATGAAATGGATAAGAGGAGAGTGAGAAAGTTTTGTAATTTGGAAGATTTATATGAAAATGAAAAAGACCGAAGAGAGGAAAGATGTAAGATAGAAGAAAATAGTAAGGCGCGAGAGAAGAATGCAAAGAATCTTGACCTCTTGGCGTTTGACCCATTCTAATTTAATCTCAGATCCAATTTCGATAAGCTTCAAATTTCTAAATTAAAAAAGAAAAACATTTTATTTGTAGTATTCGATTACATTCAGAAAAATGTAAAATGGAATGAATTTACTATTGGACTAGTGTTCAAATCCTAATTATGAGAGAAGGGAAAGTTGAAAAAATTCATTCGAAAAGATGGCAAAAGGCTTGAAATAATAAAAATCTTTAAACAATTTGAAAATAAATTTGAATTTTCGATTCTTTTAGATAATTTTCAACGAAACAATTCAAAATTTCTTTTATGATTATCACGAGAACGCAACTGTGAATTCCTAATTTTGCTTACATAGAACGAATTGAAAAGTTAATTTCACATTGTGATATTCTGAAGGTTAACTTTTTTGAAAATAACAAGAAATTATATTCGTTGTTAATAATAACATGGCACTAAAAATTTGAAGAATTTCATATAAAAAATGAATTAAACAAAGCAAAATTTTAGTATGCAACAACAAATATCATATTAATGAATGATCAAGAATTCTCGATTATATTCGAATATTGAATCTAAAAGTTACGTAGCAGCAAAAAGGTGATGAAATATCTGAAGTGAAAAGCAAAATACGGTATGTTTCGAACTTTCTTAGAATTATTCGTAACTTTGGAACTTCATTTTCAATTTTGCTCGTTTTACTTTAAAAAAATAGTGTACTGAGTCAGCAAAACACGATAAGTGGTGTTGTCTTTCATCAAAGCTCCAGTGTTTCTTCATATGAAATGTTTTTAAGCTAAGTCATATCATTTCGACAAATAATGCGATTTTGTCCACATCTACTGGATCTATTGAAAACACTCATCGATTGTGCAATTTGTGTGAATCCAAAAATTAGTTTGCCTAACATCTCATGAACACTTGTACGTATACGTATATGTTATATCGTGATTCAATATATGCTTTAAAAAAAATGTATGGAAATTATGAGAAAGAAATCGTTTAGAGGAAGTTATGAAGATGTCTGACAAAGTTAAAATTAAAATTCATTATGTGATATAATAATGTATAAATTCGATCTTTTTAAGTGTGTCACACAAATGTACTGAAAGTCATACAGTCAGGGATAATGTAGATTAAATGATAGCTGTAATATTTATAACTGTGAAGGGCGGGGGAAAAAAAAAGAAATTCTTCACTTTGTTCAATTAAATGAAATCATTCAACTTCATTTTCACTTTAATTCATTAAGCATGAGCTAGAAAAGGGGAAATTTTTTAGCAAACTCGTTAATATAGCACATGACATAATCTACAACAATAGGATTATAATTCTTCCTTTTTTTTATGTTCTGATTGATACCACCTGTAATATTTTGCTACCACATTAACTTACTGTTCCAAAATAGAAAAAATAACAGGAGAGGACTTCTAAGTTAAACTATGGGTACACCTTGAAATTATGTAAAATTAAAAAAAACTATGGGTACAATTACGTGAAGTAACTGTTATTTAGGTGGAAATAGTCATATAGGATGCTTGAAAACAGAAATAGGCAGTTATTATTATTAATGAAGTAAAGCTAAGGATAATAATCATTTCCGTCATTCAGTTAGGTGTTTTCGTTAAACAAAAGCTCATCGCAGTTATTGTTGTCAAATTCTATCGGCGATATGCTTCACTATCATTTACGACAATTCGTTGGACACGAACTTCCTCCGATGTTGTCATTCCATTCAGACAGAGCTTCATCGGTTGAAATTTGGTTTGCAATGCAATATGTATTTCACGATAGCTCTAAAATTCAAAAGCTTTTGCATTTTTTTAAAAGTTATTGTGGAAGTGCTATATTTTTTATAACGATACGGTTGTAGAAGTCTTTTGAAATAAATTCAAAGTCCATTTTTTGTTTCAATTGTTTTATATAATGAACTTAAAAAAAACGTACCGAAATGATGTCGCCAGGTGATATGCGTTCTGAATTAGTCCAATTCAATTGAATGAAAGCAGTATGTGAACCAATTTTTTCAATCATTCCCTCTTGCACTTCTTAATTATTTCAAAATTTTTAAATAGCGTTAATTATATGGAACATTAATAATGTGTTTGCAAATATAATAAACGATGACTAAAGAAAAATAAGTAAAAAATTCTAAACAAATTCGTGGATGGAGAATGATTACATTTATAAAAAAATTTCTGTAAAACATTACAAACTTTACTAAAGTTTAATCAATTAATAAATGCTTCTCAACCTTTCGTGTTGCCTCCACTATCTTCTTGTTTTGTCATTCGTAGAACATCATCATTGAAAGATAAATCTGAAATAAACATTTATACACGAGATGAAATTAAAACTAGATTTCTGTTTCAGCGAAATAAAATTGGAGAAATTTTTATTGAGACATCGATCAAATCTGATTTTTCATATCCAAGATTAGTTATCCGGATCAAATCAAGTGTGGTCCGATACCAGAGTTTCTTATACATAGAAATCTGCAGCAAAAATTTTTGTTACAAAAGAGAAATTTGGAGCCCTAATATTAACTAACTAACAATCACGCAAAAGTTTACCAGCAATCTGCTGTCCAAATAAATTCATCTTTTACATGTAATTATATGATACCCATACCTTTAATAGCTGAATTGTTACCATTGACGAGCAGTTGTGATCTTGACAGCTTCTTCTCTGTTGAGAGCGTCCGGACTGTAAAATTTGAAAGAATTTTGATATGAAGAATAGAGCATTTTAATCTTGCATGTTTAATAAAACTTTTATTTTTCAAGAAATTATTTTCATCAGTTTTTTAACCATAAGATGTTTAAAAGTTGTTTCAAACAATTCCCATTCATAATCAAAATTTGAAATCAAAGAAATTTACTCACCATCGAAATGCTGTCTTTCTGTTCGACTTAAATGTGAAACCTCTTGTGTTTGCTGAATTGCTGTTCTGTCCCATAATCCATCACTCCTTTCGTTTCTAATTCCGTTAAACATATTTAAAATGGTGGGAGCACGATTCTCATATTGTTCCTCATAACTGATTTCCCGCTCCAGTTTCTTGTTTCGGTCAAAGTCTACGATCTCTGTAGTACTGTCGGTTAGGTATATATCCTTACATGAATCTATATTATCTAGTGAGCAGCAGGTCAATGATTGTTCTGGTGACCGTTGTTGGGCAATAAGCAATGAGTACATTGGAAAACCATTGCAGAGAGAACGGTTATCATAGGGGCAGTATTTTGCACCGCTGACTTGAGCCATTAATTCAGAAGCCATATAATCAGTTTTAAAATGTTTTTCATGTGAAATTTTACGAGGTATCCCTTGTTCTGTTTCCTTTTTCAAGAATCTTTTGGTTGATAAATTTTGTGAAAAAGTAGACTGTGTCGTATATGAATTCGGCGAAAAATTATTCTGGAAACGATTGAAACGAGAATTTCTATCCAGCATTTTTTCTTTCTGATAAGAATCGGATGTGTTCATAGTAACTTCGTCAAAATTTGGATAATAACGGTGAAACTTTTTTGACGACATGGCTTTCGTTTGCTCCCACAAACACCCTTCACTTGATAGAATTAGCGAAATATCAGAAAACAAGGATGAACTTGATGGTCGGGTTGGAGCGGTATGCAAATCCAATAAAGCAGAATTTTGGAAGCGCTCGATACGAGAATTTCTCTGTATTGGTTCCGCTGTTAATCGATTCCAAATGCATGGAGATGGTAAATATCTGGAAAGCAAAATGCAACTTGATTTTGATTCGCTCGACGATCGTTCAAAAGACGAAGTATCAGGAAGAGTCGATACAAGCAATGAATTTGTTCGAGCAGTGTTTAAGATTGATAGGATATTTTTTTGAAAACGATCAAAACGAGTTCTTCGTAACAGCTTTGATATTTTTGATCGTTTTTTTGCCGATACTCGAGAAAACAAAGCTTTGGATGTGGGAAGTGCTTCGAATGATTTTGTTGAAGCGGTACTTGAAGTCGACAATGTTCTTTTCTGAAAACGCTCAAAGCGAGAAATTCTTTGCAATATTGATTTAGATCGTCTCCATAGCGATCCGTCATAGAATATTATATCAGGCAGTATTGATCCCTTTGATGATCGTGTTTCAGACTCACGTAAACATAATGCAACATTTTTCTCGAAACACTCTGAACTGGTGTTTCTACACAATGGTTTAATTGTTAAGTTCGAATGTTTCTCTGGCAATTCTTCAGAAGATAAACTTTCAATCAAAGACGTCTTCAATGATCGTAACTGAGCAGTATGTAAAGATGAGCTAGAAACTTCTCGCAGAGGCATTAGTTTTGCTTGCTCATAGAATAAACTTCTTTGCAGTGGATTTGGCGAAGTGGCAGGAGATTTTAATGCATTCGATAGCGATGATTGTGTTGCCAGAAAATCTAGTGAAACTTCTCCGTCAAGCTGTTCGGGACGAAGATTTCCTCGACAAATATTCACTACTGAATTGCCTGGAACTGAAAAACGGTCAATACGTGAAATTTTCGGCAATGATTTGGAAAATGTTCGTTTCCAAATCGTTTCCAAACCTTTTGATTCCCTTAAAATAAATTGCTCTGCAGATTGTTCCAATTGAGAAATACATTGTGATTTCGTATCCTTAATTTCTGATTTCCGGAAACGTTTCAAACGAGAGACTTTCTGAAGTGAATTAGAAGAAGTCCATTGCCAAACGTTATATCGGGCAGTTTTTGATGACGACTGGCTTAACGGTGCTTCGGTTATCCATACCTGTACAGAAATAGTCTCCACAAATGCAAAGCGATCAAAACGTGAAATCTTGCATGGTACACGCGAAAATGTTCTCTGCCAACCACATGGTGTTTTGACTTGAGCTGTGCAAAGACTAGGTGTTGAAGCATCATTATCTACCTGATCTTGTTGTTGCAAATAATCTCTGCCAAGATAAAATCGAGAATTTCTCTCTTGATATGAATTTCTCGGTGACAACTGCAAATGAGCTTGTCCTAGATGCACCGACGATATTTCATTCTGTGCATTTTCATCGACATTCATCGGTGCTAAATCTGCCGTTCGCTGCTGATCTTCCTTCATGAAATGTTCAGTCCGCGATATTTTGTCATATTTTGATGTTATTCGATCCCAATATAATTGTTTTAAATAGTTATGATACAATCCGCCGCAATGTGAAGAACGGCGAGTGACTCTCAACAATGGCTGTGATGATGTTCGTCGCAAATTTTGATGATTCAATCCATTTGCTATGTCGCATCCTGTGGTGAGTAATTCCGCCTTAGGTTCTTTGCGACATATTTTTGGTAATGGTTGCGATATCACTTGCTGCCATAAGCGCAATCTCGATTGATAACTTCCCCTATTTCTTGATGGCGTAAAGGAAGCTGCCGTATGTAATCCTTCTGAAATTGAATGTCGTCGACGATAAGTCCACAGCAGTGATTCTGAAGGGGTGCACTGTTTTATTATTTGCTTCATTTTCATAGCAGACGAAATAGTTGGAATCATGTATGGTGGCGTTTGTTGAGAAGCGGTATTTGGATCTGTATACGTGGGTATCCGATAATGATAGGATGATGGAATGTGTCCAACTAAACTATCTACTGTTGATTGCGGCATAACACATCGTCCTAGAGAAGATGTTGTAGTATTTGTTGGGATATCAAATTTCCTTTCATCTGATCGGTCTGCTTTCAAATCTGTCATTGAAAGGTTGGAATTTGGGATGTGATCGGCAGTTGATGATAAACTATCGACATCAGTAAATGTCAGCTTAGCTGTAGAAATATCGTTACTGTTGACCTAAATGAGTAAAAATTTTAGTACTTCCGAATGAAAAAAAAAATCTAGTTAAATCCATGTCTTTATTAATTAAGGGATAAAAACTTATTGAGATAAGTTTTCAAACAAATAAGCTTCTAAAAAAAATTTCAGGGCTTCTGTGCCAGATCCAAAGGTTTAATCATGCAGCGGTTCGCTCGAAATTTAATTAGGTAATATAATAGCAAAGTCAAAATAGATCTGAAATCTGAACCAAATTACCGAATAATTATGAATCGTGCCATTTGTCTTAGATAAATCGAAGTCACCGGGTATATGTCCAAGAATTTCCTTCTCTGGAATCCTCTTCACAACGTTCATAACTATTTAACAATTTTAAACAAATCAATCCGAACATGCTATTTTTTCCACATTAGAAGAAAATAAAGAACTATGGATTTGATGAGAAAATTGATCGGACAAATAATGAAATTCTTTTACAGCTTAGCAATTCGATTTGCCAATGCTGCTATAATTAGTCATTGACCAATAAATTTTTGAAAATTCATTAAGAATTCATTGAGAAATTTAGTTCCCAATGAATCAGAAGATTTCATATTTCATCTTTTGGCTGCATAAACATCAAATGTTTAAAGATTTCTTGTAATCATTCGAAATCAATTCAAACATTGCCTTCGCAGGTGAACCGAATTGGATTGTATAGAAACTAATTTGCTCTACTGTATAACTGCTAATTAGTACACTCATTAATTATAGTGGACAGAGTAATTTTAAAACATGCATCTTCTATAGCTAGACCATTATTACGTTTGAAAAAATTCCTGAAAGTTCGTTAGTCAACTATTATTGCTCTTTTATGACTTGGACTAATTACAATCCTTGAATTAATGGCAATTTCTTGAAATTTGAAAATTTTTTCAATGTTAGAAATAATTCTAGGAAAATTTAGCTGTTACATTTTGCAGCATGTTCGGCTGCACCTATGATAAACACTATTGTTTTTTTCTGTAGCTGTTTTCAAATCTTAAATATTTAATTTGCATATAATTTCTTGTCATTCTTTTTGGTGGCACAAAACTGCACCACTAATATTCTTTTATTCTATCCAATTACTATGTATATAGTTTTATAAACAGATTTGTTATGCTTTTCATGACAAATTTATGAATGTATTCAATGTTTCATCAATAGAAGGCTAAGATTAGTACATTTCAATTGAAATTTTAGATACAAACCTGTATCGGATTCACTAAGTGTAGTATATTTTGCTTTGACCATCGAAAAATCTGAAAGAAGAAGCATTTAAATTTTCTTCCGTTCAAAACATCATAAATTTAAACAAATTATGCAAACAAAAATAACCGTAGTTGTCAAAATGTGTTATTTCATTGAGACTGTGAAAAAATAATTTCTTTACAAAACACAATGCTTTCTAGAAATGTTCCTTTAGGGGCATTTACATTCTTCCTCTCTCAAGTGGATCCAACCACATAGTTTACAAAGTGATAAAAATACCGAGGCAAAAATTTAGGCAGTTGAATAAGCATGAAATAGCTGCATTACTTAAATTATGAAATCCGTTTTTTGAAATCTTCAATTCTATGAAGATTGATTATGCAACATAATGAAATGGATTTGGAACTAAAAAAGTCAAGGAGTACCTGTTTCACTTATTTGCTTTGCTGTTTTCAAAATCTTTTTACTTATCTTCATCATTTCACATTTTAAACCGAAAGCGGTACCCAATGGATTAATCAGGAATGGTTTTCCAGCTTTCATATTGTATCCCGTTTCCAGTTGATGGTCGATTACTTCTGTTAATAACTAATTGATGATGATTTTTCTCAATTTTGGATAGTATCGAAACAACCGTTTTTATTCTTTATGATTGAAAAATAAAGGCCATTTTGATGAATTGGTGACAAATTAGAAATTGTCCAATAGCGTTTATATGGTGGTCTGTTAGATATTTCGAACTTAAGAAGAGAATAATATAACGATATCAGTTTGATAAAAGGATAAAGATACCACCTGCAGTAGGAGTCAGCAATATTTCATTATCTAATAATTTTTCACTTCCCATTTGTTCGTTTGAATTCGATTTCGTTTCATCTGAATCCATCACAATTTCATTCTTTTGTCTTATCATTAGCTTCATTTGCTTAGGAACAGCATTCGATTTGACAGAAAAGTTATATTAACTAAGAATGAATAAAATCGACGAGGCTATGATTTTACACTTAAAATAATTCAAAATATGAATTTCTTAGCTAAATAATAAATGATAAATAGCACAATTTGTAAACATCTAATCATTTTCTAATATTCCACTTGGTAATACCACTCAAATTCCGATCCTCTTATTTAGGAAGTGCTGTCTGTATATGATATTGTAGAGAGACGAAGGATATCACTATTACGCCTACATTTTGCGCGTGAAAGTAAAATTTACATTAAAATAAACCACCAATGCGAAATAAAAATATTTTCTTTCATTAGCCGATAAAAAAGAATAATAGCACTATTCCATAATTTTAAGTAGGTACACTGTAAGAGGTGTAAACAATGCTAATAATAATTGAAGCTTATTCATTTATCACTTGGCAGAAATGATCACACGCTTATTGCCATAATCACTATGGGATGAAGTTATAAAATCATCAAATCTTGTTCGGCAATTTTTTCGCTTTTGTTATAAAAAGTTAATTCAATTTCTACCTTCAATAAATAAACTCAGAATTATAAATTCAAAACAGCGAGCCGGAATCTATTGAAACCTTTTAATGATGCCATTGGAATAGCAACACTAGTTGATCTGTCAAATGATGTTTCCTGAGCTGTTGCCAACTTTGTTACTCCAATTTCAACTTCCGGTTTGTGCATAAATAATGATCCTATCTGAGATTCATTGATTGCCAAACAGTTACATTCACCACCTTTTGCATATTTCCGAAAGTTTTCATTGTAATTTTCGCTATGTTTTGATTGTATAAAAAAATTATGCTTCTGGGAATGATAAGAGCACGAAGGAGTAGAATATTTGCAGAGACCAGATACTGAAGTGAGAATTGAAGTGTTGGATATCGTCTGATTATGGCTATCTAAATTTTTAGCATCAAGCAGGTGAGTATTTTTATGATTCGAGGCAGTGCCAGAATCAGAATTCAGGATGCCACAGTGACAGCAGTGACATTCATGTCGAATTGGATTCATTGAATATGAATGCTTAAGTCTTCCATCAATGTACAAAGATCGAGTTTCTCGAACTGTTGTGCCACCGCAACCATTACAGTGAAAAATGCAAAGTCTTTCGGATTTCCAAGTATGTTCCAGGGCCAATTCCAGACAATCTGGACATCCGCAACAATTCTCATTCCCAGAATTATAAGAACATAATGAAGCTGAATCACTCCTTCCATGGTCACAATCATTCATTTTCATACTCCACTGACTTACCTCAGTACCTGAAATATTAAATGCTGTATGCAATTTAATAATTATTACTTCATTTATAGTACAGCACGAGAACAGGTCTGATTCTATAATGACCTGAAACAGTCTTTCACAATTCCATTAAATAAGGCTTGCCGCGTCTTACAGTTTCACTTATCCTCTTCTTTCATGCAGCAATACAATAAGTCAAACATTACATGAAAGATTCTTTAAATGATTTTTAGACAAGTTTCCGAACAAAAATTCCAAGCTAAATTCTTTTCAAAACGACAACGCTGAAAAAACACTTCCCGGATTTAAAAAGAGTAAATTTACCCAATTAGAAGGAATTGAACACACAATCTGGAGGAGTTCTTAATTCTTAGCTGAGTAAATTTCATTCACTAAGTTTTTAGATTGAGACGAGATATAATTGAGAACTAATAGCACCTTCATATGTTCGGTCCGTGACGGTTGACTGCATTCCAGAAATGGATGTTTTCAGGTTACTATGTGACTGACCCATTTCCATGACGGTGTTCACGTCCGAAAGATCTGCATTGCTAGTAAAAACATAAATCTTACAGTTCAGATCATTCAGATCATATAATTGCTAGCATCATGTTCGAATTTCTAAATTGGCGATTCTTGGAACAATCTGTTTTCCCTATATTTCTTATTTTTCAGAACCACTTCGAAAAGGCTCGGTAATCTTCATAATGTATATATGCAAAGCAGGATGAGAAGTCAAATTGAACAATCCTTTATAAGTGTCAGCAGATTTTTCCGCCCGCTACCTGACTATACAAACCAATAAAAAAGCAAATTATCCTACATTCTCTCCTCAGTTCTTTCACTTAAGACACAAAGATCATGCATCATATCATAAGTTATGTTTTTAACGTGATCTCACGTTAAACACTCAAACGTTATTACTACGAC